TCAGTTTTAGCTCTGTGGTCCTAGGCTTGTCACTTCTCCCTGGGCCTCAGTTTTCTCCCCTGAAAAATGGGGAAGGGGGACAAGGGGAGCTCTGATTTATCATTTATAGTATTTGCTAATTTCTGTGAGAAAATTCTTCCACCATGGCTAATTTGGACTGATTTCGCTGAACATGGGGTTAGGAAGAGATGGACACAATTGGCTCTCCCAAGCCCACAGCTGCTGGCTGCAGCACACCACTGCCTGCTCCCCTCTGGGGCAAAGGGCAGATGAAAGGGGATGATAGATACAAAAGCGCTCAGTAAACTACAAATGCGGAGTGGTGATAAGGTCCAACCTTAGAGAGGAAGGGACCCCAGGGTGTATTGAGAGCCCTGGTCTAGCTCCCGCCTGTGATCGGGGGTTGTGGCAGGGTGATGAGTGCCATCTGGGGTAGCTCCCGGGATCTGAGAAAGGCGGAGAGCTGACTGGACCTCTTGCATTGGTTTGCTGGTGTTTGCACACGCACATCCTATTGTGCATGTAAGATAAAGGTCAGCCATCAGAAAAGGATTCCTTCCAAATGCAGGTGCCATTAGAGAGGCCTTCTGAGAGATCCAAAGCAACAGTCATTCCCTCCTTCTTACTCTAATCACTGGGAGTTATTGTGTTTTTGTTTTGTTTTTTTTTAATTTATTTTTATTGCCGAAACCGGTTTGGCTCAGTGGATAGAGCATCGGCCTGCAGACTGAAGGGTCCCAGGTTCGATTCCAGTTAAGGGCATGTACCTTGGTTGTGGGCACATCCCCGGTGGGGGGTGTGCAGGAGGCAGCTGATCGATGTTTCTCTCTCATCAATGTTTCTAACTCTCTCTTTCTCTCTGTAAAAAATTAATAATATATATATATTTTTTTAAAATTATTTTTATTGATGTCAGAGAGGAAGGGAGAGGGAGAGAGAGATAGAAACATCAATGCTGAGAGAAAATCATTGATTGGCTGCCTCTTACATGCCCCACACTGAGGATTGAACCGCAACCTCAGGCATGTACCCTGTCTTGGAATCGAACCTCCTGGTTCATAGGTCGATACTCAACCACTGAGCCACGCCAGCTGGGCTAATCCATGGGTGTTTCCACAGCCATCCCACCTGAGGGGAATGGCTAAAATGACCTCTGAGGTCAGAGAGTCAAGAGGAAGGAAGTTTAGCTTCTGCAAATAGGGTAGGAGGATGTCAGGGAGATGGAGGTGGACGGCAGGAAGAGAAATTCCCTCTGCTCTGCCTGCTCCTATAACTAGAGTTCATGCTTTAAATTATCTCTGTCCCACTCTTAATTATTATTAATAGCTGTCATTTATTGAGCACATACTATGCATTAAGCTATTTACAAGCAATATTTCATCTAATCCTCCAGGGAGATACGTTTTATTAGCCCTATTTTACAAATGAGGAAACTGAGGCCCAGGGAAGGAAGTTAGGCAACTTGTCCACCCAAAGTCCCACAGTTACTGGGATTCAAATCCAATCCTGACTCTAGGGCTTCTGAACTACATCATCCAACTTCATCCAACCTGAGAAGTTCCACCAGCTACTCCAGGTTGTGGTCAGGAGCCAAAGCAACCTCTTCCCTCTCAGTGAGCCCTTCCCTCCCTGGACAGGAGCCCCCTCTACACCAGTCAGAGCCCCTCAGCCTCAGCCCTGAGACAGGAGAGTCCTTTGGACTGCAGGTGGTGAAGGACCCCTCTTTGCAGGATTCTGTGATCTTACCCAAGTCACTTGACCTCTTCTCTGGACCTTCCTTCCTTCTTTGTGAAACGGAGCTTTGGCTGAGGCAACCAAAGGGGTTCCATAGTCACCAAATCGGGGGTCATTGTTTTTTTGGTTTTTTTTTTTTTTTAATATATTTTATTGATTTTTCACAGAAAGGAAGGGAGAGGATAGAGATCTAGAAATATCGATGAGAGAGATACATCGACCAGTTGCCTCTTGCACACCCCCAACCGGGAATGTGCCCGCAACCAAAGTACATGCCCTTGACTGGAATCGAACCTGGGACTCCTGAGTTCGCAGACCGACGCTCTATCCACTGAGCCAAACCGGTTTCGGTGGGGGGGGGGAGGGGGGTCATTGTTTATAAAACCTTCCTAGAGGAAGCCCTGAACTGAGGACCATTCAAGGACTTCTACATTCTCAGCTCTCTCTAATCCTGTCCTGGGAGCTTGGAAGGTGGAGGGAGGAGGGGGAAGTTGGCCAAGCCAGGGTATGAAAGTCATGACTGAACTGAAGCCTTCAGCTAAGGCCTCTGACATATAGGAACTCAGCCAGGGCTACAGACAATGTCCTCGGACATAGGACTAAAGCAAAGATGGGGGTGAGGCAGATGCTACAAGGGTCCTTCTGGGAAGGCCAGACCCTCAGGAGGCGGTACGGCCCACCCTGGGGCTCAGAGAGGTCTCCTGAAGTTCATGTCCAAGAGCAGAGATGGGGTCTAAGCCCCCTTGTGGTCAAGCTGAGTGAAGGCCAGACTGACAGGGCAGCTGCCACCTGGGCAAAGGCCATAAGCCAATCTCCCCAGACCTGACAGTCCTGAAGCAGCGAAACACAGAGTCTGGGGTCAGAGGCCATGGCCACAGTTGGCCAATGAGGCCAGACGTGTGACATGTGTCCTTAAGCATTTTCTATGTCTGGGCACCTTAGATCCATCATCTCACCTAATCTTCCTGACAGCCCTTTGAGGTGGGTGCACAATCCCTATGTACCAGAGGATCCAGGAAAGAGAGAGAGAGAGAGAGAGAGAGAGAGAGAGAGAGAGAGAGAGAGAGAGAGAGAGAGAATTACACAGTTTGTTCCAAGTCACCCAGCCAGGAGGTGACACCACTGGGATTCAAACTCGAGTCAGCTGAAATCCTAAACCCTTGCTCTCCACCACATTTTATTCTGCCTCCGGAGAGGGGACCAGTCACCGCTCGCTGTGGGGGGAGGGCCCCCGCCCCAGCCTTGCCGCTGGAGGAGCGGGAGAACGCCTCGGGAAAGCAACTCTGGACCAGGGCCAAGTGTGACAGGCAGGCCCCCGCGGTCCAGGAGCTGTCCAGGGAGCGGGGAGGGGGGGACCAGACCAGGCGGTCATGCGGAGCCAGAGATGGGCTGCCCTGCCCCTTGGGCCCCATGCCTGCTCCACCTCGGTGTCCAGTTACGGCCAGCTCGGCGCTTCCCCAGTCACGCCACATTTAGCACTGCCGAGTGAGCGGGCGCCTAGACATGGAGATGGGGCGGGGGAGACTCTTGAAGGGGCGGGGGAACCTCCCCCCCCCCCCCCGGGCCCCTGCCTGGACCCCAGCGACCAGCCTCTCCACCACTGATCCCTGGAGGGCTTTGGGCAAATGCTTCCCCTTCCTTGTCCCTGTTAACCTCCTATCAAAGGAGATAATTGAGCAAAGATGTGCTAACCCCAAGCTGGGCACCATGGAGTCAAAGCCATTCCTCCTTCCCAGAGCTCCTAGGAGAGTACAGCTCGGAATGTGCAGTTATCCTGTTCTGCTTGAGTGGGTCTCGAGGAAGAGGGATAAGTACGAACCTCATGCTTTTCTTGTTGCCTGCCCCGCCCCAGCTTTCCCCACTCTGATCCCCACCACATGAGGATGCTGTAAGACAGACTCCAGAATCAGACAGATCTGGGTTTGAATCCTGGCTCTATCAAGGACTAGCTATGTGATTTGGGCCAGCCACAGAACCCCATCCGGGCCTCAGTTTCCTCCTCTGAAAGGTGGGATTAATAATGTGCTTTCCTCACCGGTGTTCTAACAAACCAATGAGAAAATTCTCCAAATCCTGTGCACAGCGGTCAGCCCAGAGCAGGCAGCTGTAAATGGTAGCCTTTAGCAGAGACCACCTAGGTCAGGAGGAGCAAAATCAAGAGAAGCTGCTCTTGACAGATGGTGGAGAAGGAAGGCAGAGAACTGAAAGGTCATGATAGTAAGAGCCAGACTAGTAAGCCATATGACAATGAGAGCTGGCATTGACTGAGCACCTCCCATGTGCTGGGCACTGGGCTAACGACTGCATTTCCGTGGATGCAGCATGCCCAGGAGGGAGGCCCTTGCTCTCTCCCTGGTGTGATGGTGATAATGCTGAGGCTCAGAGAGCTTCGCTGGCACAGCTCGCCAGGGAAAGCCAAGGCTGGCTTTGAGCCAAGTCCTCATCCACACAGCTATGCTGGGGACAGAGTTCTCGTACAATTCTGGAAGGTCTGAGCAGAAGGAGCCCTCAGGTATCATGGAATCTAAGTCTCTAGGGTTTCAAACAGTGAAACGACAGCTCAGAAAGAGCAGCAACCAGAGCCACATGTGAAGGACACAGGAGGAAACAGCACACGCCAGACAGTCCACAGTGGACCAGCGGCACATGCCCTGTGCCAGGCCAGGCTCTCAGTGCCACCAGCAATCAGGTCCCCTCGAGCTGTACACTGGTCTTGAGAGCCAGACCACGGTGCCCGAGGGTGGCACCACAGGCCTCTGCCGAGGGCTGGTCACCTGCAATTTGAGGGTCACTCCCACCTGGGCCTGGCCCACTTCCTTCCTTCTCCAGCTCCCCTTCCCCTCAGGACCACCCACTTGCTCAGCCACTGCACAGAGACCACTAGCCACAATCACCTAGCCCGGCCCTTCATGTGGAGAAGGAGCCGGAGGCAGGGTCTCGTTCACTCTGCAGCTGCAGAGTCCAGAGCAGCCCAAGCCCTCCCTCCGTGGGGGGCGGGGGAGGCTCCTCACTGTTTCATTTTGCTCTCTCCCCACCAGTCTTCTCTTCCTGTGTGTCTTCCTTGCTCTCTCTCTCACGTGACATGCTCACTTCTGTTTCTCTGTCTGTCTATCTGTCTGTCTTTCTCATCAAGATGTCTGGCTGGAGTCAGGATCCCAGCCCAGGGATGGGGTGGGAGTGGAGGTGGTGGATTTGGCATTGGTCACCCGGGGACACTGGCCCTCATTCTCATCACAGCCGGCTTTCTTCGAGGCCAGGACCGGGTGATGGTGTCGCTACTCCCGCCGCAGTCTGACGTCACGCTGCCGGGCTCCACCAGACTGGAGGGCGAGCCCCAAGGGGACCTCATGCAGGCGCCGGGCCTCCCAGGCTCCCCTGCCCCACAGAGCGTAAGTACCTGGCCCCTAGGCCCGGGCTGAGGCCAAGCCCCGAGGGCTGCATGGGAAACAGGTGAACCATCACCCCCACCCTCCGGGGACCTCCCTGGGGTCTGTCTTGTCCCTTCCGCCAGCAAACAACCACCCAGTGACTCCAAGACCCAGAAGTATTCAGATATACTTATTCCTTCAGGCTGGGGATTTCCCAGAGCAGGAACGTGCATCCACCAACTGGGGTACCCCAGGCTTAAGAGCAGTGGACCCTCATCATATTGGGGCTCCCAAGGGCAGACTAGGTCTCCTCCATCATAGGGAGGCTCCCAGAGCTCAGCCTCAGACCCCCTTTACCCAAACAACAGAGTAGGATCCTGGTCCCACCTCCACTCACAGGCCTCTGCCCTCTGTCCACCCAGAAGCACGCCGGCTTCAGCTGTTCGTCATTTGTGCCCGATGGCCCTCCGGAGAGGGCACCCTCGCTGCCGCCTCACAGCCCCAGCATCGCATCCCCAGGCCCTGAGCAAGTCCACTGCGCGGCTGGTCCTGGCCCCAGCCCTTTCCGGCTCTCACCCGCAAACAAGTACCCCAGCTTCAGCTTTGAAGAGGCCCCAGCAAGCAGCCCCGGGCGCTTCCTCAAGGGTGGCCATGTGCCCTTCCACCCATACAAGCGGCATTTCCAGGAGGACATCTTCCCCGAGGCCCAGACTGCCCTGGCCCTCGACGGACACACCTTTAAGACCCCGGGGGTGCTGGAGGCCTTTGAGGAGATGCCCGTGGATGTGGGGGAGGCTGAGGCCTTCCTGCCCGGCTTCTCGGCAGAGGTCTGGTGCAATGGGCTCCCCTACTCCAGCCAGGAGCACAGCCCTCAGGTCTTGGTAAGTACCAGTGGGCAGTGGGCAGCCCACTTATCCTCTGTGCCCGCTCCCAGCAGCCCAGATGAGTCCTCAGAGATCAAACTCCCCTCTTCCCTTCCCAGACCTTTCCACTCAGGTTCAGTGTGTATCAAGCAAGCTCAGAGACTTGGGGCCTCCAGGTCAGCTAGGAAGGGCCAGGCCGGCATGGAGGAGACAAGGTGGGGTAGGCAGGTCAGGCTAAGGAAGCTAGCTGGCAGCTTCCCAGTGGCTCCTGAGTCAGGATTCCAGTGTGTGACTTCTCTCTGTTTGTTTAAGTGTCAAGAATCCCCAGCCAGACAAAGATACACCCATATGCAAATGTGAGGAGAAAAACACATTCCAGAGACCAAGAGAAAGGGTTAAGGGAGGAGCCACAGAATACAATATTCCCCTCTCCAGCATCAGCTTGCAGAGTTGAGAGAGGACTTAAGTCTTCTCAAAGGGTACTTCCTGGCCCCATTCTTTGCCCAGAGAGGGACCTGGGTATGTTTGTAGAAATATTTTGAAAGCGCTTGGGAAGGTCAGCATGTAGGTCAAGGCCACATCCTCCAGCTCTGTGACCCTAGGCAAATCGGAGCCTCATTCAAAAAGTATGCTTGCTAGTGTCTGCCTCATAGACTTGTTGCCTTGGGAAGAGAAAGCTAAAAGGAGCTTTGCTCCCTTCTCCCCAGCTTTGGAGACCCCAGAGGGGGTGCACACTGAGCGGGCACAGCCTGGGCTATGCCTACTCTAGATGCCCACCAGCCCTCCTCACCTCTTGCTTTCAAATAGGCTCCCATCCCACCCCCCCAACCACCCCAACAAAGTCCTGCTTCCCAGGCTGGGAAGATACGAAAAAGGGTTGGGCACCTACCAGGTGTGGCCAAGACAGAACCTTGTTCCGGTTCTGGGGCCTTTTGATGGCTTCCCCTCAGGCCTATGGAACATGACAGCAGCTCCTAGGAAGGCACCGTCATACCCACACCCAGCGTCCACTCAGCGCCGGCCCCTGGTCACGCTGCCAGGTGATTTCTTTCAAGCGCTCCATTTAATCCTCACAACAACCTTCCAACCCTCCACTATCTCCATTTTACAGAGGGGTAAACTGAGGCTCCGTAGAGACCCAAGTGACTTGTCCCTTGGCCTGTAAGAGGTGAGGTTGAGACTTGAGCCCACACCCTTACCTGCTGTGCAGTGGAAAAAAGCTCAGGCCCAGAGGCCCACAGCTAGCTGGTCAACTCCCTAGGTGACCTGGGCACATCAGTTCCCCTTCATGGGCTTAGCCCCGTCATCTGCCAAATGAGGGGTTTGGACACAAGGCTCTTGGCCCTTCCAGGCCTGAGATTCTATGATTATTGCTATCTCTGCATCAGCAACCCCAGGGCACACCCAGGAAGAGCTCACAGCTGATTTGACCCTCTGGGCCCAGATGCTGGTTCCCGGTTCCCTCGTAACCCCAGGAACAGCGGTTCACCTCCTTCAGGCCTTGTTGACCTTCCAACCTTGTAGACTTCCCTGGCCCTCGCTCTGTGCTAAGCCCTGAGGGCTCTTTGAGGGGCTCACAATTCATGGGAAGCCCGAGTCTGGCCACCACCACCAGCAGGAGCTACAGGCTCCCTGTGCCAGTCTGAGAGAGTGTCACAGGCTCATGCAGACCAGCAATGGGGCATATTCCCGGGAGCAGGGAGCAAAGGCTTGAATGGGGGATGGTTGGTGGGCAGAGCAGAGAGAGGACTCATTAGCCCCCTCCAGGGAACCTGCTGGAGCCTCCTTGGGCTTTGCAAAAGAGAAAGTGGCAAGGCCTGAGGCCTCAGCTGGACCATTCTCTCTGGTCATTTCTTGTGCTGGCCTCACCATGGCTCTGCAGTGGGAACTCCAGAGCTGGGCCTTTCCCGCAGTGTCCCTTTCAGACCTGTTCTAAAAGGCTGGGGCTCTGAACCAGCAAGCAGGCCCTGAGTTTGGCTCGGGGAGAGGGGTCAGACACTGCACCCTTGTGCCGTTCCAGGGAGATCTCTGCCCTACCCCAGCCTCAATGAAATCATTGACAAATCTCCCCACTTCCCTGGACAGCCCAGTCTCAGGCCTTCACCTGCAGAGAGCACTGCTGGTTCCAGCCCCAGCTCCACCACTAATTTGCTGAGTACCCTCAGAAAAACCCCGTCTTCTCTGTTCTCTGTCCTCCAGGAATAAGTTTTGGGGGAGGCAGAGAAGGGGCTGTTTTTGTGAAGGTTTAAGACACAGACCAGAGGAAGGGAGAAAAATAAGGCTTAGCTCAGTCATCTGCTTTTTCTCCCAACAGGGGTCGGAAGTCAAGGTCAAGCCCCCAGCTCTGGAGCCTGGTCCTGGCATGTACTGTTTCCAGCCCCCTTTGCAGCACATGTACTGTCCCTCCCAGCCTCCCTTCCACCAGGTGGGTCTGGGGCAAGTGGGCATGTTTCCCCAGAGTCTCAGGATCCTGTGTGGGTATGAGTGGGGGGCGGGGGTTGTATACATTTGAGTGGGCAGCAGGGCCTTCCTTAATCCTCAGGCTGGGCCAATGGGGGTAGGGGCAGGGTTCATGGGGAGGGAAGCAATTGCCCTTCTGTAGGGGGTTGGGCGGGGCTTTTCTGAGACCCAGGCAGTACCTGAGAGGTCTCAGAGAGAATGGGCTGAGATTGGGGCAGGGACCGGATGTGAACCAAAAAGGGAGGGAGGAGGAGACGCAGACAAAGATGAGGCCGAGAGAAAAGGAGTGTGTGGGGTGACACACTCAAGGCTGAGCAGGGCAGGAAACAGCGGACTGCCGCCCCGGTCGGCCACCATCTTCCCATGTGGCCTTGGCCTCAAACCTCCTTTCCGCTCAGACAGGGTGGGACTAGGCATCGGGTTAGGGGACCTTCCCGCCTGGAGGCTCCAAGTCCCCATGACCTTCAGCTGTTCCCCCCTTCCCCACCTCACTGCCCAGCTTCAGCCCCTCCTAGATGTACAGGATGCCAAGTAATTGCCCCACACTGGCATGGGATGGTGGTTTTTAGAAAGAGAAAGAAAGAGCCCCAGAGCAGGTAAGCAGCTCCCAGGAGTCACCGGGCAAGACGGAGCAAGTGGCTGCCCAGCGCCCAGCTCCATCCACCTGCAGCCTGGCACTGAGACAGGCCCTGCCTGTGGAGCAGGTTCTACTCCCAGCCTTTTGGCATTGGCCCTGATCTTGGCCCAGCCAGGGAGGCAGGCACGTGGCGGAGGGGGAAGTAGCCAGGCTGCTTGCTTTGTGGGAAAACAGAAAGAGATGGCAGGAGGCAGAGGAGACACAGGAGGGGTCATCCCATGAGGAGCCCCAGCTGGAATGGTCACAGCCTTCCCGAGGCCCCCGGTTTGATCCGGGGGAGAGGGTGCTCCTGAGGCAGCCTGGGCTGCCAGGCAATCACACAGCAGGGCTAAGGGGCTCCCAGACCTTAAATGGCCTCACCATGCCCGCCCTGCTTTGATGCCCTCTGCGTTCCGCACCCCGACCTCCAAGATGGCCGCACCCGGGACTTTATGGGGCCTGCAGAGAGGGTGACTCAGGCTCTACGTGCCGCTCGAGTGACCTGGAAAAAGCACACCGGCTTGGAGCAGATGGGGGAGTCAGAGTCTCCCTTCCCCCTAACCCCCATAAAACGCCATCCCTGGCACCACAGCCACTCCCTTTGCTGTAAAACCACCTCCTACCCCCACCTGCCCACCACCATGACCGGCCCTTTCAAAGAGCCACTGAAACTCATAAAAGGTGGCAGTGCCCAGCAAACGCCCAGGCTGGACATCCCACTTCTGGCCCAGCCCCGCTCCAGGAGATTTAAGGGAGGCCCGGAGCACCTGCCCAGGAGGGCGTAGAAACCAGGAACTACCCATCGCCCTTCTGGAGCAGCCAAGTGGCTATCCCATCACCATGGCAACCAGGGTACCCAGAAGGCCTCAGAGGAAAGTGCTGGACCAAGGGAGCTTTGAGGCCTCTGAGATCCCAAATTCTAGAATGTGGATCTTTTCACAGGATGTCCACCCCCCTTAGCCAAGCCTCTCAGGTAGCTCTACCATAGGAGCCTATGACCATGAGTGGTGGAGCCTAGGACCAGGGAGAGAAGAATCTAGTCTCAGCTCTCTCTCTCTCTGGATATACAAGAATGAAGGAAGGGCCCCCCTCCCACCCTCCATCCTTGGGAAGGATGGTTACCATGGCAACCACTCTGCCTCCTTTGACCTCTACAGTACTCACCAGGTGGCGGCAGCTACCCTGTACCCTACCTGGGCTCCCCACACTATCCGTACCAGCGGATTGCACCCCAGGCCAGCACTGATGGGCACCAGCCACTCTTCCCCAAGCCCATCTACTCCTACAGGTATGTCTCCCAGCCCTCCTGGGTGGAACAAAGAGGGTGAGAGGACCCTGGGGAAACTGAATCCTCGTGGTATAAGGGTAATGGTGTGGGGGGGGAGGGTAGAAGGAAGTCATAGCCAGTAGGCTTCCAGAGTATGTTGGAGAAGGGATTTTTTTCATGGGGACAAAGGGATAGACTAGATTCCCTCTGACCTCTTGTCTAACCCCGGGGAGCCATGTCTGTGGCTCAACAGCAGATCTGATGTCCTGCACAGTTCCAGATTCCTGGGGCCCAGGGCCGGGGACTGAGAGTTTAGGAGGGATGCTTGCCCCACTACTCCCACCCTCCCTCCCCAGATACAGAGAGAAGCCCCACCCCAAAGCTCTGCTGGGAATAAGTGAGGAATGAGGACTGCAGATGGGACTCAGTTATCCAGTGTCTTCCAGATCTGGTGCACCTTCTCTAGGGCCAGGGTTGCAAACGCCAGGCCAGCAGCACCCGGCCTGTCTGGGAGACCATATATCTGAACTTTCCTTCATTCAACTGCATTGACACTCGACTTCCTATGTGCCAGGCCCCACGTGGGGCCAGGTCATTAGCCAGTGTGAGCTCAGGGGAAGGAAAAGGAACTAAACAGCAGCCAAGAACAGAGGAGCTGGCGAGGAGGTGGGATGATATGCAGAGAGGAGCACGTGCAATCCTCGCAGTCCAGCAGAACTGGGTTCAAGTTCAGGCTCTGGAATTTACTAGCTGTGAAACCTCAGGCAAATTATTTAATCTCTCTGAACCTTTGTTTATTTGTTTTAAAAATAAAAACCAGCAATATTCGGGCCTCTGGAAGGATTAAGTGCAAAAATATGCCTGGCACATTGTAGAGGCTCAAAAAAAAAAAAAAAAAAAAAAAAAAAAACAACCTTCATTCCCTCCTTTGCTACCTCTGCAGCTGGCTGAGGGCTGACTGGTAATGACAGCTTCCATTTAACGAGTGCTTCTATGTGCTAGGCATCACCCTTAATCCTCACAACTCTGAGGTAGCTATTACATTCTTTACTTCAAAGCGGGAGGAAACGGAGGTTCAGAGAGGTTAAGGCACTCACCGAAGGTCACACAGCTAGTGAGTGGCTGAGCCAGGATGGCAGCCCAGATCTCTCAGACTCCACTGGACCCTCATATCTGTAATTCCTGGCTCCAGTAAACAGGTTTTCATCCCTTCTCCTTTCAACCTCACAGAGCCCCTCGCCCATTCATTCCGCAGCAGATACTCTCTCCTCAACTACTCCAGCGGGGGGCAGAGGGTTTGGGGGAGACTCCGGGCCTGGTCCGAGGTTAACACGCTCTGGGTTTTCTTTGCCTTCAGCATCCTCATCTTCATGGCCCTTAAGAACAGCAAAACTGGGAGCCTTCCTGTCAGCGAGATCTATAATTTTATGACGGAGCACTTCCCATACTTCAAGGTGAGCCTAAGACCCCACATGCCTAGGGGCTGAGCAAGCCAGGCCTCTCTGGAGCCGGAGGACTCCGTTGAGAGGTGGGAGAAGAGTGAGAATAAAATCCAGGAGAGGGTTTGCCGCCGCTGCCCCTCCCCCCCATGCTTCCCCTCGTCTCTACTTCTGAAGGACAGAGTGGAGAACAGAGAGCTCAAGCCAAGCACGCAAGGTGCCACAGCAGGCTGGGGTCAGACCCCATGCTGGCAGAAGATGGCCATGTCAGTCCTATTAGGCTTCAAGGCGCATCTACCTACCCCAAGTGGGGAGGGAGCTGAGGGAGAAACGAGAGGCTGTCCCCACCCCTGCCCCCAGGATGCCGTAGGGCTGGAGGAATTTGGGCAGGAGCTGGCCAGCCAAGGTGACATGGATGCTGGGACCACAGAACCCATTGCCTTCCAGGGAGAGATTAGGATCTGCCTCCGTGGGCGGCAGGCTCAGCTGCAGTTCTGCCAAAAAGCGGGGTGTGGGCTTCGTGGTCTTTGCGAGTCCCAGGGAACTGGCTGGCTCGCCTCACCTTCCCATGACCAGGATCCAGTTCCCGTCACCCCCAGAACGGGCTTCTGGGGCCTCTACCCGACTCCCTCCCTGGAGGCGGGATGGATGCCCTTCTCTCCAGATGGGCGAACACATCAGAGAGGGTGACCCATCTGGTCAAGGTCACTCAGCAGGTGGGACTAATTGCTAATTCAAGCTGTTTGGCTTCACACAGCACAATTTCCCCATTTCCCTTCTCTGCACGCCCCCAGACAGCCCAGACCGTTTCTCCTGAGGTGGGTGCAGGGGAGATCAGAGCTTGTAAGGAGTTCTGCACCCTGGCGGGTACCATCTTGTCTGCTACTCGGGCAGCAGGCGGGAGCTGAGGCCCCGACAATCCAGAACTCAGCTCCACCTGCCAGTGGGTGATGCCCAGGCCCATGTCTTCCCAACTGTCCTGCCTGGGGATAAGTTGAGGCTGAATTCCTGCCTGGGAATAAGTTGAGGCTGATATTCAAGCAAGTTTGTACTTGCTGAGCGGCCATCCGATGAGTAGTGGGCATGATGGCCAGAGTGGTCTGGCCAGGAATGGAGAAGTATGGCCATCTACTAGAGGTTCTGGAAGGAGAAAGAGGGGGAAAGAGAGTTGTCTCTGGGATTTGAGAAGCAGAAAAGCCGATATCCAGGGTTTCCCCTTTGCCCCAGCAGGCCAGGGAACCAAAGTCTCCCTAACCTCTACCGCCTTTCCAGGTTCCCTGGGACTTTAAGAGACTGGGCCAGAGAGAGGGAAGTGAGGGCCCTGCCCTACTCCTCTCAGTCTTCCTCCCTGCTAGCTCCTGACCTGGCCCCCAGCCCCTCCCTGCATCTCATCTTCCTGGCTTAATTATTTTTCCTGGGAGCTGTGTAATCCCTGTTTTATAGGGCCGAAGAGTGAAGAGGTCTGACAGCTCTTTTTTTTTTTTTTTTTTTTTTTTTGTTCCAGTTGTTGTTCTTAGCAGTTGCATCACTCCCTCGTTTACATTTGACTTCAGAGAGAAAGCATCTTTGAGGATGGGGCGGGCCCAGATGGTGAAGCCACCCTATGGGGTGACCTGGGCTGGGCCTTTAACTAGGGGACAGAGTTGGAGCCTGGGCTCCTGTCACTGCCTCCTTGTGTGATCTCAGGCTAGGCCCTTTCTTCTCTAGCCCTCAGTTTCCCAATCTGTAAAATGGTCCGGTTGAACCAGTCGGCGCGTGGATTCTCTCCCGTTCGGACACTTCCCCTCAGACCCACCTAAGGGGTTCATCCAAGATCCCCTGCCCCTTCCGCCTCTCACTCCCTATTGGAAGGCAAGGACGGAGAGGACCCTGGAGTGGGCAGCACTCATGCCCGAGGCAGCTGAGGTGGGCGTCCTGTAGCCCCATGAGTCAGGCTTGTGGGATTGGGGACATGTCCAGCCACTGGACATAATTGCTAGTGCTGACCATCCATCTTCCAAACAGGAAGTAGCCGGGGTGGGAGCTGCCCTGGCATCTGAATTCACAGATTTATGGGGCTGTAAAAGGGTCCAGTGCCCATTAACTCTGCCCATCAGACGACACAGCCTCTACCAGTGGGGACTGTCATGGGAGTTGAAGGTGAATCCCCAGGTGACTGATCTGGTGGCTCAAGAATGCTTCCTAGTGACCCCAGGAGCCTTGGGGGGGCGGGGGGTCATCTCAACCAGCCCCCTGCCCCAGGCCAGCTGCCCTTAAGAAAAACTCTGTGGCTCCTGCCAGCAGCTTGCAGTGTCGCTGGCATCAGAGCCCAGTTCTGCTGGGCATGATTCAGCCTGGCTGCTCCCTGGGGCGAGTGAGCCGGGCAAGAGGGAGTGGCCGCCCCTCATTCAGCAGAAACTGGGCTCTGAAAGGGAGAGGGGCCCCACTGGCCAGAGCAAACTCTGTCCACAGTTACCCCTTCTGGGCCCAGGCCTGGCACAGAGCCTGGCACTGAGCTGGAGGTGGAAGGACTGCGGGTGCCTCCTGGCACCCCCGCCACCGCCTCTCACCCCACTGAGTCAGCCTAATGGTTTTTACAACCCTCCCTGGGCACAATTACTGCACCAGTGACATGACCAGGCCTTCTAATGAGTGTTTATTCTGTTGGCACGAGCACCACCACCCTGAGGGCTGGCCTCCCCACCAGGGCACGCCCCCTTGGGCACACTCATGTGAACACTCACCCACGTACACATGCAATCACAGATGCCCACACACGGCAGAGACTTTCTCACACACGCTCACCTTCAGGGACACATCCTCACGCTCGGGAATTTACAGACTCATGCCCAGGAGACAAGCTCACACCAGGGAGGCACACTTAGGGACATGTGGGAGCTCCTACAACACCTCCACCCTCACACACACACACACACACACACACACACACACACACACAGAGCAAAACTCAGGTAAACATACAACTGTATGTGCAACAGGGCACACACCCAAACCCCAACCTCACCCAACTTTCTTCTCTCCCGCATCTGCCCCAGTGGGGATGAGACCGACCCAGGAGAACATTCCATAGCTTCCCCCTCGTTCTCTCTCCTAAGTTGGCACCAGAGGCCTCAGAGCTAAAAGTTCCCTTTCCACAAAGGGCTCCAAGCACAGGCTCCATGGGGAGTGGTCCGATTCCAGGGGCGGGAGAGGCCTAGGCCTCCCTTTATGAGTCACCCGGACCATCCAGGATTAGGTAGGAGAGAGGCAGATTTTAGGTGAGAATAACTTGTGGTCAAGGTTCCTGCAGCCCTTCTCCCAGCCCTTCCCCCACCAGCTTGGGCTGGGTGCTGAGGAGGACCAGGCCCAGAGTGGGCGGCAGTCCTGTGCACGGTGGAGTTTTCTGAAGCCCAGACCCGGAGCCAGCTCTGGCTGCCCGATCCCGGCCTCATTTCTTGTCTTGCTCTGCCCCGGCAGACGGCGCCCGATGGATGGAAGAATTCTGTCCGCCATAACCTCTCTCTCAACAAATGCTTCGAGAAGGTGGAGAACAAATCGGGAAGTTCCTCTCGCAAGGGCTGCCTGTGGGCCCTCAACCCAGCCAAGATCGACAAGATGCAGGAAGAGCTGCAGAAGTGGAAGAGGAAAGACCCCATCGCTGTGCGCAAGAGCATGGCCAAGCCGGGTGAGGCAGGCGGTGAGGGAGGCCCAGGGCTCCCAGAGCAGAGAGAGGGAGGGGAAACTGAAAGAGGAGGACCGAGGAGTAAGGAGAAGGCCTGCCTGCAGGACCAGGGCTGGGGAGGGTTTGTGGGGAGAGGGAGGTCTCATGGTCTCCCTCTCTCTTGGGCTTTTTCAGAAGAGCTGGACAGCCTCATTGGAGACAAGAGGGAGAAGCTGGGCACCCCGCTCCTGGGCTGCCCACCCCCTGGGCTAGCAGGCCCAGGCCCCATCCAGCCCCTGGCACCTCCAGTTGGGCTCTCCCAGCCGCTGCACTCAATCCACCCTGCTCCAGGCCCCATGCCTGGCAAAAACCCCCTGCAGGACCTCCTTGGGGGCCACGCGCCCTCCTGCTATGGGCAGACATACTCACACCTCTCCCCGGGCCTGGGCCCTCCTGGACCGCCGCCGCCACTGTTCCCGCAGCCAGATGGGCACCTTGAGCTGCGGGCCCAGCCAGGCACCCCCCAGGACTCGCCTCTGCCTGCCCACACCCCACCCAGCCACAGCACCAAGCTGCTGGCGGAGCCCTCCCCGGCCAGGACCATGCATGACACGCTGCTGCCAGACGGAGATCTCAGCACGGACCTGGATGCCATCAATCCCTCTCTCACCGACTTTGACTTCCAGGGTGAGCTGGGGGTGGGAAAGGGGAGGTGGGGTGAAGCTGGAGAGGTACACCTGGCGGTGTGGCCCGTCCCCTCCAAGTCTCCAGGCTGCAGCCTGCTATCTGCCGGGTTTTCAGGCACTGAAGCAGGGAGGCCGGAGCAAAGCAGCAGGGGGTGTCAGGGGGGGCAAAGAGGAATGCCATCGTCCCCCTCCTGGTGCCTCCGAACGTGTTCCCACTAACCTCGTCATCAAACTCCTTTCAGCTCTGGGTAGGCTGGAGGAGCCTGATGTTCCGTTCCGTACTTGGCTGTGAGCGACTGATAGTCCTAGCATTCCCAGAACCAGTTGCAACTTCTGAGTTCAACTTTTTAATTTTTTTTTAAGTATATATATTTTTATTTTAGAGAGGAAAGGAAATAGAAACAACAATGATGGGGAAAAAATCATTGATTGGCTGCCTCCTGCACACCCCCTACTGGGGATCGAACCTGCAACCTGGCATGTGCCCTGACCAGGAATTGAACTGTGGCCTCCAGACACCACCCAGGTTCATATGTCGATGCTCAACCACTGAGCCACACCAGCCAGGCTGAGTTCATCTTTTAATGCAGAAAAGGAAAGAGATCTTCCCCCTAGGGCAGTGTTTCCCAAACTTCTCTCATGATGAGAATCACCTGGTGGAGATGTTAAACTACAGATTCCTGAATCCCAACTAAGAAATGCTAAACTAGAATTTTTGGGAACATATAGGTAAAATTGTATACTTAACTAGTGCTCCCAAAAATTCTAGTTTAGCATTTCTTAGTTGGGATTCAGGAATCTGTATTTTAACAACTCCACCAGGTGATTCTCATCAGGAGAGAAGTTTGGGAAACACTGCCCTAGAGAATATAAGGCCTCAGAAGCAGGCAGGTCCAGGAGAGATTTGAGGGTAGGAGTCAGCGGGGGAGGTCCTATCCATTCCACTCCACCTTGTCTGCTCCATCTCTGCATGTGACCAGCCCCAAATGTGTCCCTCTGAACTCCAGTGCCCCAGGCCCTGGTACTGGACGGGGGCGGGGGGGGGGTGGATTGTGCTAAGCCAGGCCTCCGACCCCTTGCGTACACTGGGAAGGGAATATCCACAGGCAGGTGGAGGCAGCCAGCCCTCTGAGAGCTCCCCGTCTGATGGGGAGACAGTACAGGCTTTAGGCAGCTAGATCCTCACCCGCCTTCAGAAGTGGGAAGCAGGCTCAGCGGCCTCCGAGGAAGCTCTAGCCATAAACATGTACTTGACCCCTACTCTCAGGCGGCACGCTAGTCGCCTTACATGTGCTTCCTTATATGGGCCTGCAGGAGAGGAGGGATTATTAAACACGTTTCACAGAAGCACGGAGGTTAAGTAACTTAACTCAAGGTCACTTAGCTAGAAAGAGGGAGAGCTGGGATTGGAACCCAGACAACTCAGTTCAGTATTTAGTCCAGGCTCCTTCCACCAGATACTCAGGGCAGCCGCCAGGGCCTGGCCTGCCAAGATGCAGGTCACATGACATAAAGAAGGCTATGAGGCCGAAGCGCTATCTCCTCAGAGTAAGGGGCGCTTCCTGGCTCTGCTCCTGTCCCTTGGGCCCTGCAGGAGAGGAGGCCCAGGGAGCCACGACCAGCCGTCTCACCGGGTGGAGCGGTGCATTGTTGGAAGATCGTGGTCTGGGCTGCAGATCCTCCTTCCTCGGAGCCTGGGCGGCAGCTAGGGTGAAGGGTTCCTAGGGCTCCCTCCCCAGGCTGACCCTGGAGCACACAGTACCTGCATCAACCCCTCCAACAGGCAGCTCTCAAATCCTCACCCTCTCCACCCCCCAAAAGAGAGCCACACAGTCCTCGGGCTATGGCTTTCAGACTATACATGGGAGGAGGAATCAGAGAGATTCGGCAACTGCCTGGGGTCACACAGCTAGCGCCAGGGTCTGTTCCCCAGCAAATGTTACCCAAACGGCGCTCTGTTTAGCATGGGGGAGACGGGGTGGGGGGCAGATGGGGCCCCTTTGGTGCCTCCCAGTGATGCCTGTTCTATCCCCCAACTAGGAAACCTGTGGGAACAGCTGAAGGATGACAGCTTGGCCCTCGACCCCTTGGTACTGGTGACCTCATCCCCGACATCATCTGCAGTGCTGCCGCCTCCGCCGCCTCCCCACTGCTTCCCTCCAGGGCCCTGTCTGGGAGAGGCGGGCAGTGGGGCGGGCGACTTGGCATCACCAGGCAGCGGGGGCTCGGCAGCCCTGGGCGACCTGCACCTCACCACCCTCTACTCGGCCTTCATGGAGCTGGAGCCCCCACCCCCCACGGCCCCCGCCGGCCCCTCCGTGTACCTCAGCCCCAGCTCCAAGCCCATGGCCCTGGCATGAGCCATGCCCAGCATCAGCTCCAGCCTCGGCCTGGCCTGGAGGTCCCAGCTGGCTGCCCACGTCGGGCTCACCTTAAAGGTCAAAGAAGGAAAACTCTCCCTGTCCCCTATGCCACTAAGCCAACTTGTTTGTTAGCTGACAGCGGGGGGGTGGAGACACCACCCAGGATGCTACCCCTCACACATTTCTGCTGCCCGGTGGGCCAGCTCCTCACTCAGAGCCCGAGAACAAGTGTCTGGGCAAAAATGTCACCCACTCTCACTCATCCACACTCAAGCCTTCATGCGCCTGTGCCCATGCGCATACACCGTCATTCAGCCATACACCCACCCACACGCCTTATATCCTGAGGAACCGGAACTGCGTCACAGAGCCTGACTTCCTTTCTGGGGCAGCTGGGAGCTGAGGGCTTTGGTGACCGAAAGCTCAGAGCCTCCAGCAGGCCCAAGACCACCCTGATGCCCACATTCTCTTTGGGCCCGGCCCCCTTCAGGCATGATCTTCCCCGAAGTCGAGGTATTTATTCTCCCATCTTCATTCCAGCAGCCTGTGAGGGAGGAGGAGGCATGGAGCCACTCCCCAAGTTGCCCGGGGACCCCCCTGGGGGCTGCTCTTTAGCAGCAATGACTCTGCCAGGCTCTGCCCATCCTCCGCATATGCTCTGTCCAGCCCCAGGGTGACACACAGGAGGGACCACGTCCACCCCAGGTCCAAACTGAGCCCAATCCCGACACAGAGTGTTTGGAAATGCCCCCGCCCTCGGAAACTTGAAAGAGTCCTCTTCTCCCAGCCCTGGGCGTAGGAAGGGCCCCTCCGAGTCACCGCGGTCTCACTCCTCTCTAAGCTCGTGTAGTTTAGGCCTCAGCTTACCAATGACTTCCCACTGCTTAAGGCAGCCTGGGCATTCCGGGAAGGGAAGCCTGGCACAGGCGGACAGGGGAGCACCCGTGTCCCTCTCTCTGACTGCTTGACAGACCTGGGATGCCCTTGGAGCTAAGGGTGTGGCCCTGTGGCCCGCCATGCCCTACCTGGAAGCCAACCCCCACCACGTGGGAGCCTCAGCCTACCATGGGCCCGGGGACGACAAGAGCCCAGAGTTTGGCCTCTGGTGAGGCACGAGCAGATCCCTCCGTGGCCTGCCATTGTCCCTTACCCCGGAACAATAAAGCAAGAGCCACGTGGTCTCAGCTGTGAGCCTTCCTTTCTGGACCCCTCTCCCTGGGGAGAACGGTCGAGCTGCAAAGACTGTAGGTGTCCTCCTGGGCCTGTGACTTCACCCCACCCTCCCTCAGGACTGGGAAGCATTTTGAGAGGACTTCTGGCCAGCCTGAGAGGATGAGGGGGAATGTGGGTGGGGTGCCTTCCCAGGAGAACTTTCAAAGGGATGCAAAGCAGCAGCTGCCCTGCCCAGAGGGAGAGGATGCCCTCCCTTGTCCCCCTCTGAGATCCACCCACTCTTCTCATTTCCTCACATAAGAAGGGGTCACTTCCCTGTCCAGGCTGTGCCTTCCTGCCTCCCATCTTCCCCTGGCTGGGCTCCGCGTTCCACAGGTGCTGGGGGAACCCAGATCAGAGGATCAGAGGATAGCCAGCTACTGGCCCTGGAAGATGATCCCAGGAGGACCAGGGGCCTACTCCACCCCATTTCAGGCTCACCGCCCAGGCACCACCTGCAGACAGGCTGCTGTCGCCAAAGGGCAGCCTGAGCGGCAGCCCCCCACTCCGCCTGAACAGGGATGGGAAGGTGTAAGAGCCATAAGCACTCGCAGGAGCCTCAGTCTTACCACAGCCACAGGTGGGGCCTCTGCTTAGAAAGTTCTTCCAGGGGCCATGCCTGGGGGCCGGCCAACATCGCCTGCCTGCCCCAGAGGACAGCTCTGCAGATCTCCTAATGGAGGTACACCAGTACCTCCCCCAAGAGGCTCTAAGGCTGGGTCCAGGCCTAGAGGGGTAGGGTAGGGTGAGGAGTGGGGGAAGGCATGGCCAGTCCATACCCGCAAGAGGAAGACCCACCCAGCCCTGGCTGTATAGGAAGGGGGTAAAGGGTCAATGTCAGGCCCCAGGTGACGTTACACCCCAGTTCTGATCAACCCTAGGCCTGGGTCTGAATGTCCAAGCCCCCAAGAACAAGGCAAGTGTTTAATGAGAGAACTTTACTGGGACCTGCTTCCTTGCCTCAGACTCGAACCCTGGGGCCTCAGACAAACCTACTTACACCTCCAGCCTCGTTGGTGAGCAGAGGACAGGTCCAGGGCTCCTCAGTCAGACCTCTGTCCCAGGGGCCCATTCATCACACCTGTGAGTGAACTGGCCCCCATGCAGCTAAGACAGGCAGCAAGTTGATAGGACTTGGAGCTTCATTTGTTTGTAACCAGACGTGGCCCTCTGGGCAAGTGCCTCTCTGAGCTGAGCTCCCCACTCGCGCTCATATGCTACCCTCTGCTGGCCACCTTGCACCAAATATTCAACCACCATTTTAGGGTGAGCAACAGTCTAAATGGATGCAGGGTCTGGAAGACCCTTTGGGGGAAATGATCCCTTTTGTTCAGGGGCTCTAAACCTGGATTTAAACTGGTTAGAATGCATGGGTCCAATGCAAGAAATTACACCTTCATTGTTACTCATCTCTACCTCAAATTTAGCATTTCCCTTGATTATGAATCAGCAACAAAGCACAGTAGCTATAGTAGAAGCTGTGACTTTGCCATTAAGAAGAGAAAGCACAGATGTTTTCATATTACATTACAGGTATTGCAGAACAGATATAGATAGAGGTGTCAATATATAGTGTTTAATACGTAAAATATAGCATTACAATATATTTTATGTACATAAAAACCGTATTGCCCATATGCTTCAGTAGACAGTAAGAAAAGGGTCAATGACACACAAGAAAGTCAAGCACCCTTGCTGAAACCGGTTTGGCTTAGTGGATAGTGTCGGCCTGCAGACTAAAAGGTCCCAGGTTTGATTCCAGTCAAGGGCATGTACCTTGGTTGCGGGCACATCCCCAGTAAGGGGTATGCAGGAGGCAGCTGATCAAAGTTTCTAACTCTCTATCCCTCGCCCTTCCTCTCTATAAAAAAATCAATAAAATATAAAAAAAACAATAGTGCTTAAAAAAAAAGAAAGTCAAGCACCCTTGACTTTTGGTGCCAGATGTTGGGAAGTGGAGGGTGGCTCTTAGAGGCTGGGCCAGGCTAGAGAGGAAGCCCTACGAACTTGACACAGCAGCTCTTCATCGGCTGGAAGGGAAACCTCTGTGTTTCAGTGGGCTGGGCAGTCCCAAAGCGCACCCTGCAGGCCGGCTGGAGTCACATGAGCAGGTTGTCTTCCTCCAAATAGGGCTTTCCTGCTCAACCCAGTGGAAGGGTTTTTTCCGGCCTACGTCAGAGACAGAATCTGAGCATGGTCAGACCCAGCCGAGTCTAGATCAAAGTCAACAACTCATCATAATTACAGTCAGACTAGCTGACTGTACACCCTACACCCTACCCTACACCATCCCACCCCCATCTTCTTCCTCCTTCTACCGCCCAGGAATCTCCTAGGTTCCTAAGGAAAGTGCGAGGAACTAAATGCAACAAGTAGCACCTTAGCAGCCAGACCGATACAGAGACATGAAGACTTAAAAGGAGACAGGGAGGCCCAGGCAGTGTCGCTCAGTGATTGAGCATTGACCTATGAACCAGGAGGTCATGGTTCGATTCCAGGTCAGGGCATGTGCTGGAGTTGTGGGCTCCATCCCCAGTGTGGAGTGTGCAGGAGGTAGACAATCAATTATTCTCTCATCATTGATATTTATCTCTCTCCTTCTCTCTGTGAGATCAATAAAACCCTGGGATAAGTTCACCTACCTCTCAGACCTTCAATTTTCTCCATTAAGGGAATGAAGCAGGGCTGGGGGCAGTGTTATACATAGGACGGCCAATCCAGGGGGCTCCCCAAGGCAGCTTAAAACAAGAACGCTCCAGCAGAAACCGGTTTGGCTCAGTGTCGGTGGATAGAGCATCGGCTTGTGGACTGAAAGGTCCCAGGTTCGATTTCGGTCAAGGGCATGTACCCTGGTTGCGGGCGCATCCCCAGTAGGGGGTGTTCAGGAGGCAGCTGATCGATGGTTCTCTCTCATCAATGTTTCTGACTTTCTATCCCTCTCTCTTCCTCTCTGTGAAAAAAACAATAAAATATATATTTTTTTTAAAAAACAAAAAAAACAAGAGCGTTCCAATTCTTAGTCACAAACCTGTCCATCTTCTCTCTCTGATGAGGGAGAAAAGCACAACCTGGGGCCTCAGGGGGGCAGAGAAGGTAAAGAACAAGACCACCTCCCTATACCTTCCTTCCCATCCTAGAGCTGGGGTCCCTAGTCCCATCCTCTGTTCTGTCAGGAGGCCATGACTTTGGCCTAAAGCTTCCCCTCTCGGGGCCTGAATCGCCTCCTTTTATCAAAGGAAAAGCCCTTTCCAGCTACATGTACTAAATGCCGACTCTAGGTACCAAGAGGATTAGGGCACAAGAGGACTTGGGCACCACATTATTGCCTGATCCCCTCCCCTCCCCACCTCCCCAACAGAGACACCCGCTGGCCCACAATCAGAGAACAGAAAAGGAGAAAGAGTTTATTGAAAACTATATACAGTTGGTCCAGCCCCAAGCACAGGTGGCAGTCGGGGCCAATCCCTCCCACACGTCAGGCAGTTTCTTGGCCCCTGATGATGGGGGCGAGGGCTGGGGCCAGAGCCTAAACCCCCACTGGAGTCTTGACAGCCGGGATCTTCATCTGTGAATTCACAAACCTAAACGGCCTGTCAGTGGTGGGCAGGAAACAAAGAATGGGTCTCTGCCTGACCTAGTCAGAGCCCGGGTAGGGGAACACTGTTCTGAAACTTGGGCCCAAGAGGCCCAATGAGGCTGTCCAGAAATTCTGGCTACTCCTCTCACAGGAGGCCTTCCTGGATATGGAGGCAAACAGCCCCCCGACCACCCTCTCCCACCCCAGACGCAAGGCCTCGTGCGCTTTATGGACTTGGGCTGGGGACCTCAGGCACCCTCCCTCCCAACACTGACACAGGGACCAGGGCCCCTGGGACCCTTCCCGGGCAGAAGCCCTGGCTTGAGAAGTGAGCACTGGAAAGTCACAGCTGAGGGCTCAGGACCCTCCTGGGGGCGGAGGCAGTAGGGGGGTCACGGCGTCCCACTATAGGAATAGTCTGCTTTGTTGTGCATCACCAGCCGGTCATCCACAAAGTAGAAGCTGTCAGACTGTGTCTCGTATGGGTGACGGATCATCTCATTGACTGCAAGAGAGCCCCAGCCAGCGGGGGCAAAGGTCAGGAGCCAGAGGCAGGCCACGGCAGGGCCTTCAGGACTAGGGGACAGGGCGGGACACGCTAAACAACCTCCAAGAACTCCCCCAGCCTCTTTGAGCCTGAGTGTCCCTATAGGTGCCAGGCACAGGAGACCCAGGGTGGGAATAAAGGGGGTCAGACCCCACTCCCCCCAGCGTGGTCTCTGAGTCCTCTCCCTCCACAGGGCCCTGCCCACTCACTCAGCTCCTCAGAGAGAGGGGGGAAGTCATAGATGTGCTCGCAGGTGTTCTTGCTGCTCGGGATGCAGAAGCCAAAGTGGAAGTCAAAGCTTTTGAGCAGCTGGTTTCGGAAGTAGTGCCTCTCGATCATGCGGAAGTTGTTGACAGGCTTGTCTCCCACTGTGAACTCCACCCTGAGCGAGAGAAGGGGGCAGGGCTGAGCTTGGCCTTGAAGTCAACCAGCCAGGTTCAGGACAGACTGCCCCTAAGAGAGGCTCAGTAAGAACTCAGGAAGGGCTCGCTCCCACCCCACCCTTACCCCCAGCCCTTCCCCCCTGCAGACCCAGTGACTCACGTGGCTCCCACCTGCCTCAGGCGGAGGAAGGCAGGGGTGAACTGGTAGCGGACAAAGCGCCCAGCATTGGGGTCCAGGTCCCGCCGGTTGATGGGCAACCGCTCTGCAATGCACCCCAGCTGGGGCTCAGTGGGCTTCAGAGTGGGGCCCATGCCCATCCCGGGTCGCACCCCAGGCCTCCCATCTCTCAAAAGTTTTAAAACTCCCGGGAGATTCCCACCTGGGAGATCTAGGTCAACAGGTCAAAATTTTCAACTGAGTTTCCCAAAGGAGACACAGAGGCCTGCAGTTCCCAAGAAGGCCTGCAGAGGGCAGGCTGGCAGGGACAGAAGGGACAGGACTATCCCAAAAAGTCCAATCCCAGAGCAGAGGGGAAAGAACAGAAGAGGCCCCTGACAGATGACTCCTGGGAATGATGGAGTCCACGTCCCAGCTGTGCTCTGCCCCCTCTGCAGCCTGAGGAGCCCCTGGGCAGCCCACCTCACAGCTCGCACCCACCTCTCTGCCCATGGCCCACCCGGCAGCTCACCTGAAGCCGGGGGCTTCTTGATTTCAAAGAGGACAGTGCCTGTGTCCATGTCCCGAATCTTGAACCTGATGAAGTCGATCTTATATATATTCTCCTCCGGGGAGCACAGGTAGTCTAGGGGAGACAGGTGGCTGCTCCAGCTCAGCTTTTGTGGGAACCCCACATTAACTACACCTTTCTGATCCCTAAGGTCACTCACTGCCTTCCAGAAAGAGAGAACTGAGCCCCTGCCCTGGAGGAACCCCACAGTGTGGGGGAGAAATAGCTCATCATGGGATCGAATGGGAAACAAACATCTCCACCTAGTGGCCTCTGGGGACAGGGAAGGGCAGGCGGAGAAGGGTGGCAGACAAGGCTACCTCTCCCATATTTTCCCTCCTACCCTGGAGTTGAGGGCCCTTATTCCAGCCTCTGTTGGCTTGGTAGAAGCCCCCAGCATGACAGGGAAGATACAGCCCTGCTTTTGGAAACCTCACTCTAAAAGGAGTGGCACAGCCCTAGCTGGTTTGGCTCAGCTGATAAGAACATCAGTCTTCGGACTGAAGGGTCCCAGGTTCAATTCCGGTCAAGGGCACATGCCCAGGTAGTGGGCTTGATCCCCAGCAGAGGGTGTGCAGGAAGCAGCTGATCAATGATTCTCTCTCATCACTGATGTTTCTCTCTCTCTTTCCCTCTTCCATCCTCTCTGAAATCAACAAAAATAAAAGTAAATAAAAGGAGCGACACAGCTTGGCCTCAGGAGATCCAGTCTCCTGATACTCCCACCGCTACCACATAGCTGTCCCTGGTGCCACATCTAGGTGTGCCAGGCAAGGACTTCCCCTGACCTGGGTCGTGCTGGGGCAGGGGAACAACCCCTTCCCTGTTCCTCCTCAGCCTTTTTCCCCAACCCGTGGTCCCCTCCTATCCCCATAAGCAGCTTATACAAGCCCAGCTCCCTTAAGCAGCTTAGCCAAAGCTCTGCTGACTCAAACCCAGAGCCTGGAATTTGGGGGGAAGGGAGCCACCTTTGTTCCCATCCCCTGTTGATCTCCACATGGGAGGAAGTCTCAGCAAACAGAGGGAACCCCTTCAAAGGTCATGTACCCAGCTCTGGCTCTGAGCCACTCCCAGAGAGAAAAGTACGGGGGAGGACAGGAAGAGGGTGTGGTGGGTGCAGCAGAGGGCGCGCAGGGGGCATGAAGGGGAGCCCTCAGTACCCAGAAGAGGAACCAGGAGCAGTGGTGGGCCCCGCCTGAGGAAGCTCAGGAATACCATGGCCTCTCCCAACCCTCGCTGCTTGCAGCAACTGCAAGTGCTCAGGGCCGCCCTGGTAACAAATAGGAAGAGGCAGAGGTGCAGCTAGGGGTTCTGTCAGCCTGCACAGCAACACATCCTCCCCCAGAGGCCCGGAAATTACCCTCAGGCCCCGGGCCACCTCCTATTCCTCTGGGGCAGGAAGAGGAAGTAAATGTAAAGTGGTTCTCTCTTCCCCAAGCCCGGGCCAGCCCCCTCCACGAAGCCCTCCTGGTAGCCACCCGGCATCCTGGGGTCCAGCAGAAACTACAGAGGCTTGGGAAGGGGCCTGAGCTCTGGACAGTCCACCAGAGCCCGCGACGGAGAGAAGGCAGAAAGAGGAAATGGCAGTGGCAGCCCCTACCTCACCCTGTACACACCTTGTTGTCACAGAGAGTCCAAAGGTGTAGAAAGAAGGTGCTGGGCACACTCAGCACCCCCTTCCTCTATTCTCCAACTTTTGGAGCTCCTCCTCTCCTTTAGAAACAACTTCTTGCAGTCTGACCTCAGTCTGTCTCTCCCACTGCAAATTCAATCTATCAACCCCGCTGAGGGAGTGGGGATGCCAAAGACTCAGGGCACTACAGCCACCCGCCTCCCTTCACCAGGGAAAGGTGAGGCCGGGGACCCAGGGTTAGGCCAGAGAAGGGAAAGAGTGGCCGAGGGCTCAGAACACAACTGCTCCCTTCCCATCAGCCATTAATAGCTTCCTAAGCCGGATTCAGTAATCCAGGAGGCGTAAACCTCAGACCTACGTGATTAGGGTCAGAGGAGACCAGGAGGTGCCAGGATGGAAAGCCCTGGCACCCTATTCTCAACTTCTATAGAGGAAGGAGCTCCCAGGAAGACCTTCCCCACCTCCCCCACAGATGCCCCATCTCTAAGGCTATGAGTTTCCTCCAAATTAGGAGACAAATGGTGGCATGTGGGCTGGAACACACATACCCCCAGAGGTGCAAAATAAATGCTAAAGTTACCTAGGACCTGAACAGATCGTCCTATAAGGAAGTTCTTTCCCAAAGCCGACCGCTAACCTGAATCCTACATGCTGCTGTTGTCAATTACAGCCCAACTGGCACCAACATCAGACTGGTCCAGACCCCCTCTCACTACAGGTGCCTGCTTGGGCAAAGCTGCTTGGGCCTTGGGCGAATGGCTGCCGCCTGGCTCAGAGAGGAGAGAGAAGCTGGTCCCCTAGGGGCCCAGACATACAGGCCTAGATCTGCCATCACGGTCTTGCCCAGAGCTCTGATAGCCTTGGGCTCTGCTGCTCCTACAGCTCCAGAGCTCAGGTCCATTCCAGCACCCGAACCCCCATCCCCAAGGAGAGGCCTCAAATGCCTTCTGTTCTTTGAGGCTCAGCCACCGCTTCTGCCATGAGGCTTCCTAGCCCTTGCTCCTGCCTTTGGTGACGCCCCTCTCCTGCTCTGAATGCTCAGTTGTCTGCTTCCAGACAGCAGCCATCAGCAGTCCTCGGGGCCCTCAGTACCACTCATAAAAGGGCCCTGTTTACAGAGCATGCACAGCATGCCAGGCGCTGTGCAAAACCGGAGAATGTGTTTTCACAATAGCTCTAAGAAGTCTTGTCCCCCCATTTTACAGGTGAGCGTGCTCAGAGAGGTGAAGCTACTTGCCCAAGGCCAAACAGTCCTTTGCGTTGCAAAGCTGGGACAGCCCAGGCAGTCCAGCCCAGAAACTCACCCACAGTGGAGACCTCCAGGCCTCCAGGGTGGCCCTAGTCCAGGCTAAGGTGGGAGGGGGGGTTAGGAAGTGGGGGGCTTAACCTATTCCCTTAAGAGGGCACAGACCCAACCAACTGAATGGGGTGGTTGAGAGTTCCTGGGGGGATCCAGAGTGAGGGCATTTAATGGTCAGGGAGAGCTTAAAAATGCCACCTAAGTAACTCCGCCTCTACCTAGCCTCCAGGCTGGGGGCTGAGGACAAACTGCACTCAGCCTCCTCCTCATTATCGCAGAGAAAGGATTCAAAAGGTTCTAAAAACTACCTGGGGAAGGGGTCACAGTTTCAGCGGCTGCCTCACCTCCACCACAGGACAAGGGGATGGACGCAAAAAGGAAGGAAGGGGGTGGAAATACATCTCTAAAGGGAGAGGAGGGGACCCAGGAGATCAGGAGGAGGGGCCCAGGAGATCAGGGGGAGGAGGGACATGGAGAGCTCAGGCTGGGAGGCAGAAGGTAAAACACTCAGGCAAGGGGTGCCCGGTGGGGGAGGAGAGGCAGGGGGAGGACGGGAAAGGGGGCGGGAGCCGGGGCTTCGCGCGCCGCCACAGCCCCCTCCCTCCCGCAGGCGGCGCTTCCTCGCCGGTGCTCACCGCCCGTGATCCGCTGAAGCCCCAGCACGTCCTCCGGCCCGATCGGTGGCCTCCTCTGCAGCGGCCCTGGCCTGGGCCCCGGGCCTGCCTCCGATTCCGACTCGGACCCGGATTCGGATTCCGCCTGCGGTGGCGGCTCCGGCTTTGGTTCCACGCTCAGGCCCGAGGCCCCAGGAGCGGGCTCCGCCCCCGTCCCGGCCCCGCCGCCGCCCTTCTTCACCTTCATGGCCTCGCGGGGCCGCGGCTCGCCTGCTGCCGCCGGGGCTGCCTGCGCCGGCTGCAGCCCGGAGAGGGGAGCGTCCGCAGCCCCACCCCCGGCCGGGGCCCAGGTACCGCCCCGCCCCGCCCCGGAGGTGTGCCCGCCCCCGAGCCCGCCCACCGCCAGCCCACCCAGTGAAGGCCGAGACTCGCTCGCGGACCAGGGCTACTCCCCCAGGGCAGCGTGGGGGCGCGCCCTGGGCTTCACTCATTTTTTCCAAGGGTCCTGGCTACCTCTCCGGTGCCCCCGCCACTCTGCCCCTCCGTCAGTTCCCATCTCTAGGGCTTTGCGTAGGATACTCTTCCCCCAGGTGGCCTCTTCTGGTCCTTCTGGTCTCAGCTCAAATGTCATCTGCTCAAAGGCCCTCCTCCGCACCCAACCCACAGTACTAACCCCAGCCACTATCTGATCAGCCCGGTTTCTCTTTCTAATGCATTACCCCAAATTAGTTTTATTTGTTCACGGACTCTTCCCCCTACATGAACAGTTCAAGGAAAACAGGGATCCTGTTTTGTTATCATACCCTACCACCTGGCACAGTACCTGTGCTCAATATATATATTTTTTAATTTTTAAAAAAATGGTTTTTAAAGAGGAAGGGAAATAAAAAGAAACATCGATTTGTTGTTCCAACAAATTTTTTATTTATGCATTCACTGATCAATTCCTATACGTGCCCTGTTGGGGGAATCAAATCCTCAACTGTGGCATATTGGAACACTTTAACCAAATGAGCTACCCAGCCAGGACACTATATATATATATATATATATATATATATATATATATATATATATATAAAATTTATTTTTAAATTTATGAATGGAGTTAGTATCAGAGGTCTTACACTGGTACAAGCCATTCCTTCCCAGACCCCTTGCTAAAAAAGCAGAAGTAGATGTTAAGAGACTTATTGGGCAAACTCGATCATGCCGAGGGACAACTGTCTAGCTCACTAAGTCACCACAGTGCGAAAGCAACGTGACGCTGTGAATAGATACTAGGAAACCATCACTTACACATGAATGAGGAACAAAAGCTATGCTCATACTTCATATAATTCCAATTCACATTCCATGTTTATTGAGAGCCTAGAATATACCGCTTTCAAATGCTTACCACATTTAATCCTTACAACCACCTTGTAAAGGAGGTATCATTGGTGTTACTTTAAGAAATGAAAAACTGAAGCTCAGAGAGATTAAGTAGCTTATTCAGAATTCCCCATATGAGAAGTACAGAAACCAGGGTTTGAATTCAGGCAGGTTTGAACCCAAGTCTGGAACTTTCTCCACTGCACCACACTGCCTCTGCAAGGGTGAAGGGGACCTCTGCCACACAGCATCAGGCTGTGCCCAACAGGCATAGCTAGACAGGAGGGGAGGAGTAAAGGAGAAGACCCCAGAGGCGACCTGTGCCTGGCCCCCTCCATAAGATCAATGCTGGGGCTCTCCCTGAGGGGTAGAGAGAAGCGTGGAGGGGAAGAAGCTAGAAAACAACTAGGGCTTTCCCCTAACGCCCCCTCTCAGTGCAAGAGGACTGTGAGAAGCAGGGCAGAAGCACAAGCTGCCCTTATCCCAGAGGGATAGGAAAGGCCCTTCTTCAAGTTCAAGCCAGAGGAGACCCAGATGATGCATCTTTGAAGATGGGGGTGGGACCCCTGAGCCAGAGGAATGGGAAGAGAAGGAAAGATGAATCCATCGTGGAGTGTTACGCTTTGGTTGCTGGAGAAGCAACAGAGGAGGCTGGAGACAGATGTTCATGGCAGGCACCATTAGGTGCCTCTCAATCTAACAGCTCCCACGTTGGCCAGAAAGAAAGGCCTCCTACTGAGATGCTCTCCTGCTCAGTCTGTCTTCTCTGGCTTTTTCCAGGACTTGCGACTCTCCAGGAAGATCTTGACCAGAGACAGGAAGATGGGCACAGCCATAGGCAGGAAAAGCGGGATATAGATGGCAAACTTCTGGTCATCCGGGAAATAAAGGAGATGGAGGAGCGAGGGATCGAAAAAGGCACGCTCCGAGGATGTCACAGCTTCCTGGCTGGCAGCAAAGGCAGAGGCCAGGTGTCCCGAGGCCAACTCCTCCGCTGCCTTCTGGACTGCAGCTACAGCCCTGTACACCTAGGAGGGGGGCAGGGGATTACCAATTAGTCCTCTGTACCAATGAAGGTGGTGAGGGAGGGATGAGCTTTACTGTGTCTACCATCTCCCAGACAGGTTGCCTGGAGTTTGCCCAGGATATGTGACAGCTAGTATAAAAGGGCTATGGTGGGTTTTCCATGTTCCTGCTTAAAACCTCACACACCCCCAATTTGGACTCCTGCTGGGGGCTGGCACTGCCTTCTAGAGGAAGCCTGGCATGCCCATACATACCCTGGACCTCAACTGGTACTAGTTTCACCACACCATGGCCCTCAATGACCATTCCAATCCTGGGCCCCAGAATCCATCCCCTGCCCACTTACCTCAGATGCCACATCATCCTTAATGACAATGTTGCTGATCTTGCCCAGAAGCTGGGCCAGAGAAGTGAGAGTGGTAGTGGCTGTGGCCAGATTCTCCACCGACCGAGCCCAAAGCAGCCGGTCTAGTTCCCAAGTCATCAGCCCTTCACCCTTAGGCCTGGAAAACAGGCATTTTGGAGGCACCTGCGGCTGAGCAATCCCAAAGAGCAGCCTGTAGGAACAGTGAAGAAGGTCAAAAGCTGAGATTAGAAGGTGGGAGAAGATGGCTAAGATTCCTTGAATAAATAAGATTTTCAGTCTTATCCAGACCCACAGGGGTTGCAGGAAAGTGCCTCAGGCTGTTGGGTTTTAGGTTTTACCTATTTCTATATTGGACTTCCAAGATCTTATTTGACAAAAGGTTCCATAGCTAAAATATTTCTGATTTAGTTTAATCCTCTCACCCTGTCTACTCTCTCTTTGGACAAATGGGGCCACTAAGCCTTAGTGAAGGGATGATCCAGGACCACCTCTAACAAGATGTGTGTGCTGTGCCTCTCCAATCCTGCACCATGGCAGGCATTGCAAATCAATCAGAATCCTCTTTCCTGATCAGCCCAAAGAATCCTCAATATGGGCCATCAGGCAGCCATTATCAATAGATTAGTTAGACCAGATGGCATGGTGCAGTAGTTGAGCATCGACCTATGAAGCAGGAGCTCATGGTTTGATTCCTGGTCAGGACACATGCCCAGGCTGTGGGCTTGATCCCCAGTGTGGGCATGCAGGAGGCAACCAATCAATGATTCTCTCTCATTATTGATGTTTCTCTCTCTTCCTCTCCCTTCCTCTCTGAAATCAATTTTTTTAAAAATTTTTTTTTTTAATAAATTACTTAGCACAAGAATTAACAGCTATTTTTCTTAAGCACCAGTAATCACATCCCATGGACCTGACACTTGTGAGTCTATTTTTCTTAGGAGTTTTTGTCACCAACTAGTTCTTCTTAGGAGAAGAATGAAGTGATCCTTGGCAACCTCTCTTGCTTCCTAAGGCTCTAGGCACAGCCAAGGTGTCCCTGCCAGGTGAGATTTTATTCCAGGCAGCCCGGGAGACCGTGGTCAGAGTCAGGCCATGCCCCCAAGTGCATCCCCTAGGACCTCACCGTAGCTGAGCCAGGAACACCTCCATCACTCGCACCATGTCCACCTCAACACGCACCGGCAGCTCCGAGGCATTGTAGGCTTTGGGGTCCACATTATATACCTGCAAGGGGAAATGCGGTTGCCTCAATATCATGCCAGGACCATACACAGTTGTGCCCCACACACTCTGAAGACCATGAAAGAAAAAGAAGACATATTCTGTGCTCTTTAGAAATTACAAAGCTGATGATATAATAGGTATTTTTTAAAATATTTTTTAAATACTTATTAGGAGCTTTCCATAAATTATCTCTTACTCTCTCAAAAGTCCTCTAAAGGAGACATTTTTTTATTCCAGTTTAGAATTTCTTTCTTTTGAATTTCTACCTAGTCTAATAGGGGAGACAAAGTTTCAAACTTTGCAAGACTTCCACAAACAGGACCAAGATCTAAGATGTACACAGAAGAGTCCTCAATGCAAACTACTACATGCAAAAGGGTCATATTATAGAAAATATAGGCAAAACAGCCTTGGCTGGTTTGACTCAATGGAGACAGCTTCGGCCCACAGATGGAAGAGTCTCAGGTTGGATTCCAGTCAAGGAATCATGGGTTACAGGCTCGGGTTACAGGCTCAATCCCCAGTAGGGGGCATACAGGAAGCAGCCAATCAATGATTCTCATCATTGATGTTTCTATCTCCCTCTCCCTCTCCCTTCCTTTCTGAAATCAATTTAAAAAAAATTTTTTTTTTTAAAAGAGAAAATACTGACAAAATAAGAAGTTGTGGGGCTGGCAGAGGAGGAGCACGAGCTCACAGCACCCTCACTTCCTTGGTGCCTGCCCTGCCTCAGGGTGGGCCATGGAGGACACCAGAGAAAGAGAAGAACAGTCTCAGGGAATATGTCTGTCTTGAAATCTTGGGTTCTGGAGTCTGCATAGTGTGACCATTACCATAATGCCACCCCAGCGGGGGCTGTGGAAGGCGTTAGTGGCCACTGGAGCGCCATCCTTGTCCTGAATGTACAGGGGAGAGTGTGCGAGCTCAGGTACATAGAGTAGAAAGTTGAGCACAGGGTAAAGGGAGGCAGCGCTGGATCCTGTGGTACAAAGAGAAGAGGAGTCAGAATATCAAAACATGTTAGGTCTAGATATTAGTTCCAGATCAGCCTCTAACTAGCCAGTCACTCACTCTGGGTCTCATTTTTCCCAACTGATAATCACTAGGATATCCTCCAGTCCCTGGGTTTCTATGGCAAAGAACCTCTAAACATTCTCTCAAGATATACCATATCCATGAAGGGAAGTCCTTAGCCCCAAAATGTCCCTGGAATCTTCCCTCCTCCAACAGGCCTCCCTTAACTATCTACGTCAGCTCTCGTGGCTACTGCCACATTGCACCCATATTACTGTAACTCGTTTTATGCACAAGTGACCTCATGTCAGTTCCCCACTTAGTACCTCTCAATGGCTAGCCATTCATATTAGGTGAAAGTTCAAACTCCTCAACCTGGTCCTTTATGATCTGATGCCTGCTACCTGCCTGCCTTGCCAACATTATCCTGGTCACCCTCCCACAATTAGCCATGTTAAACTTCTCTGAGCTTCCTGAGAGTCTATGTGCTCTTACTCTTCTACATCTAAGCTCCTAGGTCCCTTGCCTGAAATGCCTTTCTATCTCTGCACTCAGCACTGCCACAGAACAGCCCCTCGAACTTTGTTTGCTGAATGAAGACAGGAGGAATTTACCCAGGTCCCCCACACTGCCCTTCACACACCCTTGGGGCCCCCCCTGGCCTAACCCTGATGTCTTAAATCCCACAACTAATGATACACTCAATTTAGTTTGTCTGTATTGCAGTTCTTGGTCACACCTACTTTTCCTAGGTACCACCCTAAAAATTAAAAACTGGAACTTAGCTTCAAGGTTCCTCATTCTGCCTTCATGTACTTTTGCTGTTATCTTTCCTATACCCTATCCATTCTTTTATAAAATGTGCTGGGAAACATGTTTAATAATTGCTTTTGGATAGAATGGTGTGGAGATGGAGATGTCAGCACAGTATCATGACAAAGGAGCCTAAGTGCCCAACACTTCCTCTTCCTCGAATCCCTCAGACCCACCTAATCTGGAAACCATCATTATATACAACCCACCCCCACCCCCAGGCTGAGCCTGCCAGGTCCCTGCCTGGGCTGGCAGAAAGACCCTCAACCTCAGAAGCTCACCTAGACGGGACTCCACGGGATTGATGACATGGGGGAGGCTGTGTGCGGCCAAGTAGTAGCTAGAGGTAGCTGGGTCAAAGCGGGGGTTTACCCCCAACACTGCATAGTAAAGGATCTAGAGAACAAAGAGGGAGGACGTTATTTTGTTTATTGGTTTATATTCCACTTTGTCCCCAAAAATATTTGAGGTGCCTTAAAAAGATACAATTACAACAGGATGAAATATCAGAGCGGGCTAAGAGAAAGTAGGTGTAGGGGGAAAAAAAAAATCACAAAGCCACGGGTAAAGTTAAAACAGTAAATATGTTCTTTGAAAAACCACATATTTTCCTAGGTTTTCTCACAGCCGAAACAAGGAGGGAAACAAAGAATAGCAGAACTCAGTGTTCTCAAAATCAAATCAAGTCTCAGTTATTCAGAATTACTCCCACTACCAAGATCTAATAAAAATTTCTCCCACATTTTCCCTCAAAGAACACTGTGTGACACAGAAAGCTACTTTCTTCACATCTTTGTTACTACGTTAACATATTTCAGGGAATTTTTTGTTGTTTAAATAAGTGCTTTAAGGATGGCACAACTGGTGAACACAGTTCTGGAAGAAGCATAAGGAAGTTTGTTTTTTAACAGGCATTGATGAAACTCCCTGAGCTGGACATAAGCAGAGAAAGTAGACACCAGAACTTTATACATACACGGGAAATTCCTAACAAATCAGCAAGCCCAAAGGACTAGAACTGACTACACTTATAAACACTAAATATGGACAGACTTTGAAAAGGATGGTGCAGCCGAAACCGGTTTGGCTCAGCGGTAGAGGGTCGGTCTGCGGACTGAAAGGTCCCAGGTTCGATTCTGGTCAAGGGCATGTACATTGGTTGCAGGCACATCCCCAGTAGGGGGTGTGCAAGAGGCAGCTGGTCGATGTTTCTCTCTCATCGACGTTTCTAGTTCTCTATCTCTCTCCCTTCTTCTCTGTAAAAAATCAATAAAATATATTTAAAAAAAAAAAAAAAAAAAAAAGGAAAGGATGGTGCAGCCAGGAAAGGATGGTGCAGCCAGGAAAAGGACTCCTCAACTTGTTCCCTGTCTCACCTGAGAGTCCACAGAGAAGTTGCCAGCGACACTGAGGGCATTCAGAAAGGGCTGCACATAGCGCCGGACAGCTCCCTGGATGTCCCAGTGGACGTCATGGGACTTGGGGTCTGGGTTGAGCAAACTGAAGGTGATCTCATAGCCTGTGGAAACAGGAGTCAGGGGACCCAGTGGCTTCCGTCGATGGAGCACAGCCTGTGCCCCTGGCAAAGCTGAACTTGTTTCTCCTCTAGAATGAGGCTGATTGTCATCATGGAACCAATGGGGATAAAAGTGGGATGAGAAACACTGAGTGCTTTAAGAAAAAGTTGAAACCCCAGGGAAAGAAGCAAAGGGTTTGCGTGCAGATTCCCCTCCTGCCCCAACGCCCCCACATAATTCATTTCCCTCTCCCGCCCCAAAGCAAAGCCTGGTCACCCTACCCAAGCTGGATTTGAGAGGCCGCCTCTTATCAGAGCTCCACTTGTCCTCGGGAAGGTGGTCAGCCAGTGCCGCCGCCAGCACGTCCTCAGTCAAAGACATGGCCTGGACTACTTGGATTACGCGGTGGCCAATGATGTTAAAAGCCTCCCGGTGCATTATTCCTCTCACCACTGCTGTCCTCTTAGGCCCAATGTAGCTCATCATGTCCTATGAGGAGCAAGCAAGGCACAGAACGCCCATGGCTCAGGGAGGAAAGCAGGAAAGCACTCTGATTCATTTCTGAGAATCTGGCCTTTTGCCCTGACCAAGAGGCATGCTCTCTCTTTAGAGCCATAGTGAACTATTATCTCAGCATTTCTGAGCTGTGGGTATTTATGAGTGTCTTCATTCATTTCCATTCCCTTCTCTTTCCCAGTAGACATAAATCTTCTCAGGCTGGAAACTAACAGATGGCATGCTGAACAAGAAAAGCAGAATAAACAAACAACTGGACAGTTTGATCTAAATAAATGGTACAGGGTAAAGAGGCAAGTGTAAGAATTTTCACAGCAGCATTATTATAATAAAAAACTGGAGACAATGCAAATGCCCATCAGCAACAGAATGGATAAATTGTGGTATACTTATACAATGAAACATTAGACAGAATTAAAAATGAATGCACTAGACTTTAGCTACACATATTATCATTGATGATTCTCTCAAACATAAATGTTGCAGAACATGTACTGTATTATACCATTTATATAAAGTTCAAAAATATGTAAAATTAAATATATTGTTCAAAGAGACACAGCATATGTGAGAAGACTTGAAAGAAAAATAAGAAAATTATATGATAAAATATGGTTGCCTTGGGCTGACAGGAGTGGGATGTAACCATGGAGACACATGGAGCCCCCACTATATTGCTGTATTGTTATAAACTGTATCTGGGTACATGACATTTATTAAAATTTTTTCTCCTCTTTTTATAATAATTAAATATTTCATTATAGTCCTGGCCAGATTTCTCAGTAGTTAGAACACAGTCCCATTTGTCACGGTTGTAGGTTTGATTCCTGGTCAGGGTATATACAACCAATGAATACATAAGTGGAATAACAAAATGATGTTTCTCTCTCTCTCTCATCAATACATTAATTTTTAAAAAATATTCCATTATAAATTCATAAAGAAAATGGTATATGGTATGACTTCCACCAAGCCTTTTTGTTCATGAAAAAGTCACTGTATCATTGCCCAGGTTATCTTCACAACCCACTGAAACCAGCTTCTTTTACTCCTACTGATTATTTCCCCCACTTTATTTATTTTTTATTTTTTTTTAAATATATTTTATTGATTTTTCACAGAGAGGAAGAGAGAGGGATAGAGAGTTAGAAACATCGATGAAAGAGAATCATCGATCAGCTGCCTCTTGCACACCCCCTACTGGGGATGTGCCCGCAACCAAGGTACATGCCCTTGCCAGGAATCGAACCCGGGACCTTTCAGTCTGCAGGCCGACGCTCTATCCACTGAGCCAAACCAGTCACAGCTATTTCCCCCACTTTAAATGGTCATTGGAACTTTAACCGTATACAGTCTTAGATTTAGAAAACCAGAGTCAGTAAAAAAAAATTGTTATTAGCATTCTTTAAAAAAATATATTTGGAGAGTTTTCCATAGCAAATGGAAGAAATGGACAGCAATAGTACAAGGAGGTGACCAGGGAGAGGAAGAGCTGACGGGATTGGGCAAGGCCACAGTATCTCTGCTCACCCTACCTGGGGGAGAAGTGAGGAGTGTTCAGAGATCACGTACACAGTCAGGGAGCCCTCTGCTTGCTCCTGTGACTCAGCTAACATGGCTTCTGCCTCTGGGGACAAGAGCAGGAGGTGCACCAGGAGCAAAAACACCATTCCCTCTCCCTCTGGCCCCCACAGAGTGCCTAAGCCACCCCTCCCCCTCCCACTGACACCCAACTGCCACTGTGGGCAGGCTTGGCCTTCAGTGGCCCAAGATGAAACACATCTCATTCACAGCTTTCCCAAAGAGATTTTGGAGTTAAGACAAGGTATGAAAACTATACCTTCAGGGATCAGAAGGGAAAACAGGACTTCCTGTTAAATAGTATGACCCCTCCCTTGCAGTACCTTGTATACTGCCCATTGATAAGGCCTCTTCCTCATGGACCAAAGTCTTCCGATAGGCCTTCTGAAAGCGGCATTTGATTTTCATTTTGTCTTGAGAAGAAAAGGGAGAAGCATGAGGACAACACAATGATTGTTTGCGGAGAAAGACCAAGAAGTTATAGCCAATTCTAATGATTTCTACATGGATGATATCAAACACCCCACCTCTGCCACCTGCCCAACTTTTGCCTCTGCCCATGTACACACTGCCTTCAATCTGAAGTACTCTCCCACAGGGAAATCTATTACAATAGTCATTACACAAACAGGTGAAAGGAGAAAAAGCTTATGAACATTTTATTAGTTTTTTAAGACTTTTTTTTTTTTTTTTAATTTATTGACTCCAGAGAGGAAGGGAAAGGGAGAGGGAGATAGAAACATCAATGATGAAAATCATTGATTGGCTGCCTCCAGCATGCCCCATCCTGGGATCAAGACCACAAACCGGGCATGTGCCCTGACTGGGAATCGAACCTTGACCTCCTAGTTTATTTTTTTTTTTTTTTTTTTTTTTTTTTTTTTTTTAATCAATCTTTATTGTTCATATTATTACAAAGGTTCCTCATTTCTTCCCCCCTCCACCAGGTTCCCCCCCCACTCTTCGTCCCCCCCCCATCCCCCATTGTCCTCATCCATAGGTGCAGTTTATGTTCAGTCTCTTCTTCCCTCAATTTCCCCAATAGTAAATCCCTTTTCAGATAGTAAATCAGTTACTTAGCATTTTCTCATATCAATAATACCTCCACATGTCCAATGATACACTTCACACAAAAGACATTTCCCACTAGGTCAACCAGCCTCATCCAGGCCCCACCCAAGGCACTCACAGATCAACACCCCAGTCCTAAACTAACGCAGCACATCCAGATCTAAGCCTTCACCACTTCATTCAGCAGACCCTCAAGTTCCCACAAAAGTTTCCAGCCATGTCTGAGAAGCAGCCGTGGGGCAGGGGCAGGCAAGGAGCGAGCTGTTCTGGGCCAGGCTGCTCAGGGCCTGGCCTCTGTTGCTCTGGTTCATTCCACAACCAGCTGCTCCGGGTCTGGTCACTGCCGTTCCCGACCTAGTTGCTCTGGACTTGGCTGCTGCTACTCCGGGCCTGGCCGCTCCCAGCCTGGCAGCCGCTGCTCCGGGCCTGGCCGCACCCGACCCGCCTGCTCCCCCGGGCCTGGCCGCTCCCAGCCTGGCAGCCGCTGCTCCGGGCCTGGCCGCACCAGCCCCGGCTGCTCCCCCGGGCCTGGCCGCTCCCAGCCTGGCAGCCGCTGCTCCGGGCCTGGCCGCACCCGACCCGCCTGCTCCCCCGGTCCTGGCCGCTCCCAGCCTGGCAGCCGCTGCTCCGGGCCTGGCCGCACCCGACCCGCCTGCTCCCCCGGGCCTGGCCGCTCCCAGCCTGGCAGCCGCTGCTCCGGGCCTGGCCGCACCCGACCCGCCTGCTCCCCCGGGCCTGGCCGCTCCCAGCCTGGCAGCCGCTGCTCCGGGCCTGGCCGCACCAGCCCCGCCTGCTCCCCCGGGCCTGGCCGCTCCCAGCCTGGCAGCCGCTGCTCCGGGCCTGGCCGCACCAGCCCCGCCTGCTCCCCCGGGCCTGGCCGCTCCCAGCCTGGCAGCCGCTGCTCCGGGCCTGGCCGCACCAGCCCCGGCTGCTCCCCCGGGCCTGGCCGCTCCCAGCCTGGCAGCCGCTGCTCCGGGCCTGGCCGCACCCGACCCGCCTGCTCCCCCGGGCCTGGCCGCTCCCAGCCTGGCAGCCGCTGCTCCGGGCCTGGCCGCACCAGCCCCGCCTGCTCCCCCGGGCCTGGCCGCTCCCAGCCTGGCAGCCGCTGCTCCGGGCCTGGCCGCACCAGCCCCGCCTGCTCCCCCGGGCCTGGCCGCTCCCAGCCTGGCAGCCGCTGCTCCGGGCCTGGCCGCACCAGCCCCGCCTGCTCCCCCGGGCCTGGCCGCTCCCAGCCTGGCAGCCGCTGCTCCGGGCCTGGCCGCACCAGCCCCGCCTGCTCCCCCGGGCCTGGCCGCTCCCAGCCTGGCAGCCGCTGCTCCGGGCCTGGCCGCACCCGACCCGGCTGCTCCCCCGGGCCTGGCCGCTCCCAGCCTGGCAGCCGCTGCTCCGGGCCTGGCCGCACCCGACCCGACTGCTCCCCCGGGCCTGGCCGCTCCCAGCCTGGCAGCTGCTGCTCCGGGCCTGGCCGCACCTGACCCGGCTGCTCTGGACCCGGCTGCCCCGGGCCCGGCCGCTCCGAGCCTGGCCACTCCCGACCTGGATGCTCTGGGCTTGGCTATTGCTGTTCTGGGTCTGGCTGCTCCCACCTCGGCTGCTCTGGGCCCGGCTTCTTCGGGCCCGGCCACTCCGGGTCTGGGTGTTCCTGGACTGGCCACCCTGGGCTTGGCCGCCTCCGCCTCATGCCTGGCTGCCACTGCCCCAGGTCTGGCTACTCCAGTGCTGGCTGTTGATGCTCTGGTTCTGGCTGCTGTTGTTCTGGGGCCTGGCCGTTGCTGCTCCGGGTCTGGCTGCCACTGCCTTGTGCCTGGCCACTCTAGGCCTGGCCGTCGCTGTTCCAACATTCTGTCCTTTTTTTTTCTTTTTAAAACGCATTTATGTTGCAATGTTGGCTGGTGAGTTGAGTTCTGACTTAGTCTTTGATTTTTCAAGATCTTCTTTGTATTCTTACTTAAGTAATTTTACTATTTTTTGCTCTCACTTGATTTCTTCACATTGAGAACTTCTTTGGTTTCTTCCTCCTTGTCCTGGGAGCTCAGCAGGTTGGCCTGTGGCACCCCTTTGTTCTCCGCGGGCTCCTGCGCTGCTTCAGCCTGTTGCCGGGACGGCGCCGCCCAGGAAGCAGCCCCCGGCCTTGGCTCCATTGCCCGAGCTCAGTGGTCAAAGGCTCAGGGGCACCCAGGCCCCCAGGGGCCTCGTGGCCCGCCTCCTTGCTGGTGCCCGGTTGGCTGGAGTCCGGCAGGGGCTTCCGCTCCCCTCCGTGTTCCCCCAGCCTAGAGCTTTTTTTTTCTCCTTCCCGCTAGGGAAGTCCAGCATCAGAGTCAACAGACTGTCCTCTACGAGCAGTTTGTGCGAGTCCCACAGACTGTCCTCTGCGCGCAGTTTGCGCGAGTCCCACAGACTGTCCTCTGCGCGCAGTTTGCGCGAGTCCCGGGGGCCCGGCCTTTCGCCGCTCTCCCCGGACTCCACCTCACAGCCCCGTCTCCCTCTGCCTGAGCCTGGGTCCCCAGGGATTAGCCCAGAACTGGGGTTCGGAGCAGTCCGGACTGAGGCTCAGCGCCGCCGGAGGCCTTGAAACCCCACATCTTTAACTATCACTCTCTGTCCCCTTCCCGGCCCTAAGCAACCATTAACGTACTTTCTGTCCCTGTAAGAATGGCCGCTCTTTGCCTCCCTGCAGCTGGGGCTGACCCCGTCCCTGAGACCATTAGGCCATCACAGGGTTAGAGTTTCAGGGCCGGCAAAGAGCCTGCCCTGCCTTCAGCTGCCAGCTGTGTCCTGCCTGACTCCTGGGACAGCCCTGCAGCTGGCAGCTCCTCTCGCCAGCTCTGCCGGCCCCTCCTTTTCCGTTGGAACCTGGAAGCGTCTGTTCCACCTGCCACACAAGGCAGCTCAGGAGCAGCAGCCCCAAGCACCCGGGACAGACCCCGTGGGCCTCAACTTAGGGCCGGCACCTGCCCCTGCCCCTGTCCAGACATGCTTCAGCCAAAGCCTGTTCGTTCTCTCTCCCTCTCTTGAAGGCAGGACTCGGATGCCCCTCCATTTCCCCCACCTTCTCATCCCCAGGATCCGCCTGACCTTCCCAGAGGCCTGGGTGGTGGGCCTCCCCGTCTCAGGAACACTTCGGGAGCCAGGAAGGAAGGACGGAAGGGCATCCCTGGTTGACAGCCCAGCGTCTTCTCCCTTCCTTTTAGCGAGAGGCCTTTGTTTTCTGTGGAGAATCCACCCCAACTGCTTTGGTGGAGCTGACCCTTCCCTGTTTCCCTCATAGAGGCAGGCATGTGACTCAGCCTGAGTGAAACACAAAGGGAGATGGAGAGAGAGGAAGAGGGAGGGAGAGAGGGAGGGAGGGAGGGAGGGAGGGAGGGAGGGAAGGCTTGACCTCCTAGTTTAGAGGTCGACTCTCAACCACTAAGCCAGCCAGGCTTTTCTTGCAGTTTTGTACATTCATTCCTGAGTATCTTTGGTTTTTTATTATTATTGTGATTGGGATTTTTTTAAATACTTGCTTTTCTAGTTAGATATTGCTGGTATGTATGTTATTGATTTTTGTACCTAGTTATCTCACTGAACAACAACAAAAAAAGTTTTCATTCCTTGTCTTAACTCCAGAATCTCTTTGGGAAAGCTGTGAATGAGATGTGTTTCATCTTGGGCCACTGAAGACCAAGCCTGCCCACAGTGGCAGTTGGGTGTCAGTGGGAGGTGGAGGGGCGGCTTAGGCACTCTGTGGGGGCCAGAGGGAGAGGGAATGGTGTTTTTGCTCCTGGTGCACCTCCTAGCCATCTCATTCATTGACTCTCTTTGGTTTTCTTGGAAAATAGCTATACTGCTTCAAAAAGTAGCTATTTTGTCTCTTTCAAATATTCATGTTAATGTCTCTCTTCCTCTCTCCAAAAATCAATAAAAACATATCCTCAGGTGAGGATTAAAAAAAAAAAAAAAGGAAAGAGCCCTAGCTAATTTAGCTTAGTGGATAGAGCATCGGCCCATGGACTGAAGGGTCGTGGGTTTGATTCCTGTCAAGGGCACAAACCTCAGTTGCAGGCTCTATCCCCAGCCTCAGTGGGGTCATGTGAGGAAGGCAACCAATCTCTCACATTGATGTTTCTCTTTTTGTCTCTCCCCTTCCCTTCCACTGTAATAATCAATGGGAAAATATCCTCAGATGAGGATTAACAAAAAATAATAATAATAATAGTGCATATATATATATATATATATATATACATTTTTTTCTATTATTTTTTTTAGTTAAGAAAAGTGCCTTGCCCTAACCGGTTTGGCTCAGTGGATAGACCTAAGAACAAGGGTCTCAGGTTCGATTCTGATCAAGGGCATGTACCTTGGTTGCCAGCACATCCCCAGTAGGAGGTGTGCAGGAGGCAGCTGATCAAAGTTTCTCTCATTGATGTTTCTAACTCTCTCTCTTTCTTCCTTCCTCTCTATAAAAAAGTCAATAAAAATACTTAAAAAGAAAAGTACCTAACACTTAGTGAAGCGTTTAAGGTTGGACCGAGTCAAGTCTGTACAGAAGTCCAACTTGATTCCAAATCCTGTGTTCTTTCCACTACATACCACTTCCTCCCCTGTCCTCTAATGAACCTCAACTATTTCTGATCAGGTAGCATACTGTTTTATGCATAAAATTGTCACCTTTATGCTGAACTCTGAATTTAACGTTGCTTTTCTCCTAACCAAACACACTGTTCGCTCACAGAGGCCTCTTCACAAGTTTTTAACAACCTTTATGGGACACCCACATTCCTAACCAGATGCATAGCTGAGCTGAGCTCAGACGGAAAAAGGCAGCCCAGAGCCCCCACACACTCACATTTCAGAGGGATCTCTCTCTCGTGCACAACGGTGAAGGGCAGCTTCTCCTGATCGTCCAGCGGCACTGACTCTCCGGTAAACACGACACTGACAGGCACCATGAGCCGGAGCTGCGGGAAGGCGCATCAGGGCCATCGCCTGAGTCTGAGCCTGGCCGAGGAGCCGTCCCCTAATCCTCCCGCGCCCAAGGGCTCACCTGCAGGGCGTTCAGCCCACTGATCTCGGAATAGGGCAGCGAGGCCCGGTAGGTCTCGGTGGTCTTCCACCAGAGCGGCAGCCCCAGCACGATGGCCACGGCAGCAAAGAAGAGGGCGGCGCGCTTGCCTCGGACCACCTCTGGAGGGAAGGAGGTACGGAGGCACGGACTGAGACGCCAGAGGTGGGCGCAGGTGCCAGCCCCACCCCTGACGCGGAGCCCGGCCACCCGGCGGCAGAGGGTCCCCGCCCTCGTTCATAGGGATCCCCGGGCGACACTCCCGGGCCCAAGGCTCAAGGGATCCTGTCTGAAACGGCCCTCCGAACCCCGCCCGCTGGACCTGCGGCGCCCCACGACCCCCACCCCCTCGTTCCTCCCTCCCAGTCCGTGAATCGCAGGCCTCAATCCATGCGCCACCGCACCTAAGTCTGTAGCTGCGGCCCCGGCGGCCGCCATGCTGGTTCCCGAGGGCTCTAGCCGGGGGGCGGGGCAGCGCAAGCCTCCTCCAATCGGAAACCAGCTAGGGGGCGGGACCACGGCAGCGATTGTGGCCAATCGCGAGAGACACTCTAGTCGCAAAGGCGGGAGAAATCCGGCGAGCGATGAGCGGGGTTCACCAGGGGTTTAGAGTGCAAACCCTGCAGTCCTTAACTACTAATCTGGGTGACAACGGGCAGCTCTTTTAATCCGGGAAAAAAAAATGAGCTATTTACCAAAATGAAGTCTTTCATGTAAAGAACTTCCGTTCAAATGTCACCTATATCGCCATTATTGTTTATGATCTCTTTCATGGAACTCCTCTTCCAGGCACCCTCTCAAGCCTCACACCTCATGGAACTCCCCTTCCAGGCACCCTCTCAAGCCTCAAACCTGGAAGTGGCGAGCTAGTAGGTACGCAGTATCTTTTTAGCTATTTGGCTCATTCGGTACCTCTTTAAGAATTTTTGATTGATTGATTTTTAGAGAGAGAGCAGGGAGAGTGGAGAGAAGCACCAATTTGTTCCACTTATGCATTTATTGGTTGATTGTTTTAAAAAAAAAAAAAAGATTTTTGATTGATTTTTAGAATGAGGAAGGGAGAGGGAAGTGAAACATCCTTCTGGGGAACCAAGGCGGCATTCCAAGCATGTGCTTTGGCTGGGATAGGATAACACTCAACCAACTGAGCCATACCAGCCAGGGATGGTTGACTCATATATGCGTCAACCTTGGTGTATTGGGAGGATGCTTTATCTAACTGAGCTACCTCCAGGGCACTCATTTTATATATATATATATATATATATATATATATATAGAGAGAGAGAGAGAGAGAGAGAGAGAGAGAGAGAGAGAGAGAGAGAGCGCACAAAGGTGGAGATTTATTGAAGAACAAGTACAGACTCCCACTTAGGGAGGAAAGAGTCCCACAGAATGGACTCCCAGGTGGGGAGGGGGAGAAGGGTCCCCAGTATTTTTTTAAAATATTTATATTGATTTCCAAGAGGAAGGGAAATGGAGAGAGGGATAGAGACATCAATGATGAGAAAGAATCATTGATTGGCTGCCTCCTGCACGCCCCCTACTGGGGATCAAGCCCACAACCCAGGCATGTGCTCTTGCCTGGAATGAAACCTGGGATCCTTCAGTATGCAGGCTGAGGCTCTACTGAGCCAAACCAGCTAGTGCTCATTCAGTATTTTTATTTCATTCAGTATTTTTAAATTTATTTTAATTCACTTCTCACTTATAAAAGTTTGACTTTAGCCGGGACCGGTTTGGCTCAGTGGATAGAGCGTCAGCCTGCGGACTGAAAGGTCCCGGGTTCGATTCCGGTTGAGAGCATGTACCTTGCTTGCGGGCACATCCCCAGTTGGGGGTGTGCAAGAGGCAGCTGATCGATGATTCTCTCTCATCGATGTTTCTAACTCTCTATCCCTCTCTCTTCCTCTCTGTGAAAAATCAATAAAATATATTTAAAAAAATAAATAAATAAATAAATAAATAAATAAAAGTTTGACTTTACTTAAAATTCACCAGCATAAAATCTGTGACCACTTGGGTTCTAATCCTGGCCTTCACCTCTTCACCTGAGTGATCTTGAGAAATTAAGCACTCTGTGCCTTTTTTCTTGTTAAAATTGGGATAAATTATAAATATTAAAATAAAATAGGGATAACTCTGGCATGTGTGTCAGTGGTTAGAGCATCTGTTTGTGCACTGAAGGGTTGTGGCTTCAGTTCTGGTCAAGGGCACTTACCTGGGTTGCAGGTTCCATCCTCTCCCAGAGCAAGGGGGGTGGGGGGGAGAAAGGCCGTGTGTATGGGAGGCAACCAATGATGTGTCTCTCTCACATCCATGTTTCTCGCTCTCTGCCCTTCCCTCCCTCCCTTCCACTCTCTCTTAAAAATATATATCAATGGAAAAAATTTCAGGTGAGGATCAAAAAAATTAAATAAAATATTGTAATAGTATCTACTTTATTTTTTATATATATTTTATTGATTTTTTTAGAGAGAGAGGAAGAGAGAGGGACAGTTAGAAACATCGATGAGAGAGAATCATCAATCAGCTGCCTCCTGCACACCCCTTTCTGGGAATGTGCCCGCAACCAAGGTACATGCCCTCAACCGGAATCAAACCTGGGACCCTTCAGTCCACAGGCCGACGCTCTATCAATTAAGCCAAACCAGATTCGGCATAGTATCTACTTTATATAGAGTTGTATGTTGTAGTAAATGAGTTAGTAAACATAAAATGATTAGAATGAACAGGCCCTAATTTTTAAAATAGAAAGCACTATATAAATATTAGTTGTTTGTTTTTGTTAATCCTCAGCTGAGGATATTTTTTTTCCATTGATTTTTTTTTTTTTTTTTTTTTTTAGAGTGGAAGGGAAGGAGGGAAGGGGAGAGAAACATAATGTGAAAGACACATAAGTTACCTCCCTCACACACCCCTACCCTCTGAGGCAGAGATCAAACCTGCAATCCAGTGCCCTTGACTGGGAACTGAACCCACAGCCCTTCAGTGCTCAGACTGATACTCTAACCACTAAGACACCCAGGCCAGAGTAATAGTAGCTATTTTTGTTAATATAAGGTCAGGTCACACTAGGCCTACATGCCTATACTGTAAGGGTATATGTAGCATTGGTTGTGCACTTTACACATACTATGGCCTCCCCAGTTCACACAAAACATATCTAGCAGCTTCTTTCTTTTTTTTTTTTTCTTTTTTTAAAATATTTTATTGATTTTGTACAGAGAGGAAGGGAGAGAGATAGAGTTAGAAACATCGATGCAAGAGAGTCATCGATCAGCTGCCTCCTGCACACCCCCAGCTGGGGATGTGCCCACAACCAAGGTACATGCCCTTGACCAGAATCGAACCTGGGACCTTTCAGTCCCCAAGCCAACGCTCTATCCATTGAGCCAAACCGGACTTGGCAGCTCCTTTCATTTTTATCTGCCCAGATAGACCTAGGTCTTTGGCCTACCCCCACATCCCAGCCAAGTGGTCAAAGTTCATCATGAGAACACAGGTCTGCCCTTGCCCAGACCCTCAAATGGGTCCCCTCTGTGCCCCATCTACCCCAAATGGGAGTGAATAATAGCCCTTGGCAACCTCCTAGATACCATTCTCACTCAGTCTGGCATTCCCAAGCCGTGGGGTTCTCCCTTGTTGGGCAGGAGCCCAGGTGCTCCTCCGGCAGCGGCTCCCCCTAGCAGAATATGTCAAGTCCTGGCAGGGCTCAATACAGCTGAGAAGTGAGACTCCCATCTCTTCCTGTCCCAGTTTGGGGCCTTGCACAAAAGCTGCCTTCAGGAATGGCTCAGGTGCTGCTACCGCGGTAGCCTAGTGCTTCTGATATGGTAGTTCCTGAGAGATTTGCAGCCCTCCATACTGCCACGCTCTCGCCTTGGAGAGCAACAGGCAGGAGCCTGAGATGGGAATGGTGGCTGGGTGTACCTCTCCCCATAAACTTAAAACCCAGTGAATCAAAACCCATCCTCTCCACCTCCACAGTCAGAGGGCCCACAGACAGTCAGCAGAGATCAGAAACTGAGAGGTGGGGATCTGATGTGTAAAACAGACAGACAAAGTAGTATGTTATGCTATCATTTATTTGCTATGTGGTATGTATCCAAAGCATAAGTCAGGTCCTGTGTCCTACCCTCTGATCCCAGGAGAAAGGGCAGGCAAGGAGAGCCCAAGGAGAAGCTACTCCATCAAGGGGAAGAGTAGCTGGCAAAGGCAAGGGGAGACCCAGGCATCCTGCTCTGACTTCTAGTAAGTTCTCCTGCCTTCAGCCATGAGGGGCTCCCTATCTTCCCATCTAATGGTCCCCGGTGCAGCAATGGGAGAGGGAAGGGGAGGAGAAAAAAAGGAAGATGGCTCAGTGCTGGATGGAGGCATCTTTGCTCTGCAAAGCTATTTGGCCCTGGCTGTAACTACAGGCAAATTGGGTGGCTGGGCCAAGCGCTGTGGAATGGAGTGCTCAGTAGGCATGGTTTGCAATGTAGAGGGACTGTGCTGCCGCTCCTCCATCGTCTCCAGTGCCTTCATACTTGCCCTGAGCTGCAAGCCCATTCACCTGCAAAAGTGAGAAAAGGTAAGGCATGAGCTGACTGAGCCAGCCCACAGGTGCCAAAGGCTGTAGTCTCTGGGTGCTAACCGCTGCCTAGCTACACACCACTACCCCCAAACCAAATACCACCCCTAGCTCCCAACCTCAGCCCGCTTGATGAACTCCTCGGTGGCAGCCCCAGCATTGTCCCGTTGCCCTCGCCAGGCATTGAGTGCAGAGGCCTGCAGGGCACGCCCATAGGAGAAGGTGAGGGCCCAGGGCCGTGGAAGCGGGCAGCGGTTGATAGCATTGAGATTGAGCGAGGCCTCCTCTTCACTCTGACCCCCAGACAGGAAGGTCACTCCTAGAGAGAAAAAGAGGAGACAAACTGATTAGTCACTCCCTGTTTTTCCAGAGTAAGGGACCCCTGAAGGCCACAAGAACCTGAGGATCGGTCTAAGGACAGGAGTCAGTTAGGAAGCGGGATGGTACCTGGGACAGCTGGAGGCACAGTGCGGCGCAGGGCAGTGACAGTTGCCATGGCAACCTCCTCTGGGCTGTACTTGATAGGACAGGCATGGCCAGGGGTCACCATGTTGGGCTTCAGCAGGGTCCCTTCCAGGTACACATGATGGTCACTCAGAGCCTTATACACAGCAGCCAGGACCTAAGGATCAGAGGAGGTTTACTAAAGTCTGATCCCTGCCTCTTTTTTTTATTTTTATTTTTTATTGATTTTTTACAGAGAGGAAGGGAGAGGGACAGAGAGTTAGGAACATCGATGAGAGAAAAACATCGAGCAATTGCCTCCCGCACACCCCCCCACTGGGGTTGTGCCCGCAACCAAGGTACATGCCCTTGATCGGAATCGAACCCAGGACCCCTCAGTCCGCAGGCCGATGCTCTACCACTGAGCCAAACTGGTCAGGGCTGATTCCTGCCTCTTTAACTGCTCTATGTTCTCTGACTACAGGTAGGTAGGCATGATTGTGAGGGTCAGTACAGGCTCAGACTCACAGGTCTGTTCTAGGATTAAAAAAATAAAAGTGCTGCTCAGTTTGACAACAAGGAGAGTAATTGAAAGTGGCTAGAATATCAGATTTTTGTCTACTTTCCATATTCCTAAGAAAAGTAATTCCTATCCTAGAAGCTGAATCCTTGGTATTCTTGCAGGCTGAAAGGTGGTGGGTGATGGAAAAAAATAAAATAAATTAAAAAAGAAAAATTAGAGTAAATTCACTCAAATAAGAAAACTAATAAAAATTACCAAATGGGAAAAAAAAAAAAAGTGCTTGGGGAAAATGCCTGCATCTGAGCCAGGAACTGGGAACAAGCTCCCTGTCAGGCTGTCGCTGTGGTATGTGTCTGTGCCAGGTGTGGGCTCACCTTCTCGGTGACATACTGGCAACGTTTGAGGTCATGGTCTCCATCAGGCAGGATTTCAGGTTCCACAATAGGCACAATGCCATTCTGCAGGTGAGAGAGGAGTGGTACTAGGCAGGAGTGGTACTAGGATGGGAGAAAGTTCTCTCTTCACCAGGCATAGGGCACCCATCCGAACCCCTCACGCATGCATACACACACCTGCTGGCAGATGCTGGCATAGCGGGCCAGCACATTGGCATTCTCCAGAATGGCAAGGGCTGAGGGCGTGCGTTCACTGATTTTCAGCACACAGCGCCACTTGGCAAAGTCGGCGCCATCCTTCTTGTATTGGGCACAGCGTTCTGAGAGCCCATCCAGCCCTGTGGGCATAGTGCTGGTCTCATCACTCTGCCCCCTTTTGCCAACATCCATCACCCACCAACCCTGTGGTCCTAACGCCCACCCAGCCTGTACCTTGAGTGGTAGTTTCTCCATCGGTCCCAGCTAGAGGGACCACACCTTTGTCCACCTGAAGGGAAAACAAAGGCAGAAGGCTGAACCCAGGCGGATTCCCCTTGATAGTCCTCATACACACACACCTATTTCCATGCTCCATCCCCCAGGGCTAGTGGCTGCACCTTGATGCCAACGACAATGCCCTTATCCTGGATGGTACGGACGAAGGGGACACCATTGTCATCTTTCTGGTAAAGTGTCTCGTGAAAGAAGATGACACCTCCAATGCACTTCTTCACTCGGTCATCGGCGCTGAACAGGACCTGGCGGTACAAGCGGCGATTCTCCTCTGTGTTCTCCACCCCGATTTGGCTCAGCCGCTTAGCCATGCTGCCTGGGGGCAAACGAAGAGGGGTGACAAGGTCATTCATTCCCCCCACCACCTCTGCCCTAACCAACCACAGGCCCCCCCACCTACCTACAGACTCATCTGCAGCCAGGATGCCTTTCCCTGGGGCCACAATCCGGAGGGCGATGTCAGACAACTCCTTTTTCTGCTCAGCAGAAAGGGCTGGATATGAATGGGGCATGGTGACAGCTCTGTGGAATGGAGACAAGATATAAACGCTGGACCCCACCCACTATCTCCTCTGCTTCCTTTCCTGGTCATGTGGGCCAAATGGCCCTCCCCACTGCTCCCCGGTAAGCCCGGGGCTGGGAACAGAGTAGCAGTCCTTGGCATGAGTCCTGGGCATCAAAGTGGCACCAATTTATCTGACAGCTAGCAGGCTTAGGGACCCAGTTCCCACATCTCCTTTTGTCTCTGATGGGCACCCTTCCCAGCCCAAGAGAAAGATGCAGGGTGGGGGTGGGGAGTTCAGTCGCCCTCAAGCTACAGGTCTTCTTATGAAACTACTGCCCAAATGAAAATGCCAATCCTTCTCTCGTTGAATTTGGCCCCTTCTTCAGGTAGGTATAAGCCCTGACCTTTCCAACTTCCCTTTTCTGGTCCTCAGCAGGGCCCTAGGGAAAGTGCACTTACTTCCAAGCTGTCACAACGAAGCAAAAGGACACATCACCCTTCTTTCCCGGGCTTGTGGAGGAAAAGGTTAGGGGGAGAGGGGGGAGTAGGGAGTAGGAATAGCAGGCTTCTCTAACCAGTTTTCCATACCCCAAACCTGATGTCTCCGCAGTTAGGAGATGGGAGCAGCGGGCTGAGATGGAAAGGAATGAGTAATGAAGCTGAGAAAGGGAGGGAGAGATGCAGGAGGAGAAGGCAGATTTGTTGGGTGGTGATAGTGAGGCAGGCTAACTAGTTAGGAGGAAGGACCTAGATCAGAGGAACAGAGAAAGCAAAAGAATTGTACAGAGGGACCTTAGCGGAGGAGAGGGAACAGATGAGATTAAAATGGTCTTGTTGGAAGAGGCTGACCCCAAGAAAAACCCCAGTAGGCAGAAGAAGATTTGGGACTGGAAAAGCTGAGGTTCCAGCATGAGCGCTGAGAGGAAGGAGTGTTGTGGGAGGTCTGAATCATGGGGTGTAGAGTGGGCAGAAAGGAGAGAGATTGAAGGAGAGAGCTGAGATGGCACATCCAAGGGCACAGGGAGCAGAGCAAAGATGGAAGGGGGAGCGTCAGGAAGAGGAGGCTGAGACGCTGAGCAGTTCCCGCCTCACCCGGGCCTCACCTGTGAGCAGCGAGTTAAGTGGCGGCAGCACAGAACAGCCTGGGTTCAGGTCTGAAACAGCCGTGGCTTCAGCCCTGGCTCCTGTAAATGAGGCTGAGGATGCCTGCCGCAGAGCTACGTGACTCCCCGGGAGGCGGGGCCATCACCTCCCCACCCGGGCCACGCCCCTCACCAGGACTGGTGTCCTGGCAAGGCCACGCCCACAGAGGCGGGGCAACGAGGTGGAGTGACTACCCTGCCAAGAGCTCCGAGGCTGTGGTGGACTGTCCCCCTCCCACCTCGTGGAGCCCTGCCATCGGAGGGCCCCAGAGGGAGGAAATGGCCTTGCCCTCATTTCTGTCACAATTGCCTTTACCATGTGCTGGGCACTGTACTGGATGTTGAGGACTAAGCCTGGTCTAATGAAGGAGAGTCACCTAAACAGTCATAACAGGTAGCAGGGCAGAGGCACCAACAAAGTGTGGGAGTCCTGGCAGAGTTCCTCCGTCCTCACCCCCTTTACCAGGGCCTACTGGAGAATGAAGCCTTGTCTACCCCCACCCCAAGCTGTGAGCCAGGGAACAAGCAGTCCAGTCAGTGCCCAGCATGTTTAGGGAAGCCAGAGAAGGGAGGAGGGGCAGCTGATTTTGGCCCGGGAGGCAGCAGAAGGGGTGAGTGGAGGGTGCCCAGGCAGGAGTGCCAAGCTGCTTCTCCCCTGACTTTATCCACCCACTCTCACCCAAGAAACAAGATTCAGAGAGCTTGCAGGAATACATTAAATACACTTTATTTAAATAGCATTAAACCTAACTGGCTCTATGCCAATTGGTCCTGATGTCGGGGTAGGGGAGTATTGCAGGTAAAGAGAAGTAAAACAGACTCCAGCTTTTAGTTTCTTAGCTCAGAAATTCCAGCAATTCCTGTAGCTCCTTGCAACCCCTCACAACCTCTGGGATGGACAGCAGAGTCTGTGAAGAGACAGAAAAGGCAGTTCAGAGTCATAGCCCCAGGAAGCACCCACTGAGTTAGAGGGGAGAAAACAAAAGCCGCAGAGAAGCCTGCAACATTGCATTAGTTCAACTCCCTCCCTCTACCTCATAAATACGCTGAACAATGTCATCTAGTTTCTTTAATTCCTTGTCAGAGCGCCGAAGATTCTCCTCCAGAATGTTTCTCTGGAAAGCAAATTAAGTTGCATAAGTCCTACGCTTAAAAGAACAGCATAGCTAGCGGGGCAAGGAAAATATGGCAGGGCTCCTGCTAGGTGTGGTGAGAAGTGAACCCCCAAGGGCATGGGAATTCTTACATGGCTCTGGAACTTGACCATGAGTTTTTCCTTCTCATTTTTCATCTCCAGGAACATCACCCTCAGTTTGTCCACCTGCAGAGATGGCCACATCAGTAGGGGCACAGCCTAAGGTTTCCACCAGCCGCCCAGCTCCTCTGTTAATACAAACTCACCTCCTGGGAGAGCCACACTTTCTCCTGGATCCAGTTAGTGGCCATGGGCTGACAGTTGGGATCCAGCTGGCCTGCCAGGGTCTCTTGGAGCACCTTGGTCTCCGTCTCCGCACGCCGAAGTGAGCGGGTAAGCTGGGTCACCTCCTCTCTAAGGCTCTGGGGATGAGAATGGAGAGGTATATAGTAGCCCTCCAAGGTCCTCTCCATCATTCCTATCCCATGCTGTGAAGAAGGTAGACCAGGGGATCCAATTCCCACATTTGGGATCCTGGCTACCAGTGGCACAGAAGGCCGGGCATCATGATGAACGTACTATGAGCTCGCCACTCTTGTCTATCTGCTCTAAAATCTTCTCATTCTGCTGCTGTATCACTTCCTGGAGCTCCTTTTCATTCTGTGAAGGGAAAGGAGGTAAGAAGGCGCTGAGAGAGCTGGCTTCCTTGTAGCCCTTGCCAGAAGATGGGGTTTAGTGCCTGACCCATGCTCAGCCCAGATTGTTACCAATTAATAACACTTTTCTTCCTCTAGGGCTAAGTCAGCCAAGGCACATCTCAGTGTTGAGAGCGCTCTGCTAGACTTCCTGAGTTCTAGGTCGGCCTAGGAGATGGGTCAGCCCATAGCTAATTCCCAAACATGTGAAATGTCTGACCCCAGGAAGGGCAAAACTAGGGCAGTGGTTGGAAAATCCCCACCACCCAGATTCCCGGGGAGACTGTGGTTCCCAGTGGACTAGTACCGCTGCCCCAGTTCTTCATCGCCCCACTTCTAAGCCCCTCCTTCACCTTGTAGCGCAAGCACAAGGCCTGGTTCAGCTTCTCTATGTCCGCTTCCTTTGCCTTCTGGGCTTCCTCATGCTGTTCTTCTTGGGCCTGTAGCCTTGCCTGTAAATCACAACTAGGGGAGAGAAGAATTCAGTATTATTCCTGTCCTCTTGAGGGCTAGCTGGGTCTTGATGTAAGGGGCTGACCTTCTTCACCAAGACTGCACTCCACTCACATCTTTCGCTGCAGAGTCCTGACAGCTTCTTCTTTAGACTCTTGCAGCAGGGAACACAGGCTCTGAAGCTCTAGAATCCTAGTATGCATTTCTTCCAGGCTCTTCTCCATGCCTGGGACCTCTGGAAGAGAAAGTCCTAGGTAGAGGTAGAGCCCTTGAGCTCTGAAAGGAAGGAATGGGTAGCCATTATTTCCGCAACTCTCATCCATGCTCCCCACCCATAGGATTTGGTGTCCAGGACATCACAGGTCCCAAAAGACAGAAATGAAATGAGCCCAAGTAGAATTGAGGTTTTTAGAGCAAAGCACTTTTCACTGCTTTCGTCTTTACCATCACTCCTTGATCTAGAAATGAGGCAGGCTCCCTGGAGCCCATCCTAACCTGTAGGCTGAGGGGAAGCCATTGATGCAACTCGGGTGAAAGCACTCTTGTCACTTCCAAGCAAGGCCACAGGAGCTGGTTCTGGCTCTAAAACAAAAAACAACCATGGTATAGGGCCCGTCTGGTGATCCAGTCAAGAATCTGCCGCAGTAGAAGCCAGGGAGAGGTCTGTTGGTGGGCATCTTTAACAGCTGAAGATATCAGCAGGGTCATCATTTCCCCACCCCTAAATTCCAAAGCCTTTAACCTTTGTCTGCCATTGCTGTCAGGATGCTTCCCAAGAAGGTGCTGTCGGTGGACGGAGGGTGCTCCTGGGCAGAAGCACAGGCTGTGCTTTTCAGGAGGATCTCTGGCTCAGCCTAAGGACAAATCACAACAAAACATCAGCTACTTTTCAGGGTAGTGATTTTCCTGGACCATAGCCTCACACAGTCATTTACATACTGTCTATGGCTGCTCTTGAACTATCAAGGCCATGCTAAGTAGTTAAGGCAGAGACCACATGGCTGGCAAAGTTTAAAATATTTATTACATTTCACTTTATAGGAAAAGTTTGCCAACCCCAGTTCTGGAGAATGTCATCATCTTTCCAACCATCTAGACGTCATCATCCAATCTTCCACCTTATTCCTATATCAAATTAGTCACAAGGTTCTATTACTTCTACTTCCTAAGTAAGTACTGGATTCATCCAAACCACCCCTCCTCTCTACCCTGTCTATAACTGCCGTTAGTTCAATCCTTCAAATCTGGCATCCTGCCTACTTTTGCAACCTTATCTCCTTGTCATTCTCACCCCCAAAACTCCTACACTCCAATTATAAAAAGCTACTTCAAAGTCCCCAAACTTGCCACATTCCATGCAGTAGTGCCTTGCCTTGTTTACCTACAGTCCCAGCATCTCACCCAAATCTTGTTACAAGGTAGACACCACAAAAAGTATGCATAGTGCCTCTATGACTTTCATATACTGTTTCCTCTGCCTGGTGGGCCTTCCTATATACACACCCTTGACAAACTTCTAAGCCTTAACTGCCCAAGGGTCACATGCTTTGAGAAGACATCCTAACTCTCAAAGTTAGAACTGACGTTCCTTTCTCTGTGCTCCCACAGTGATCATCCATTCAGACCTCCTTTATGATCACTGCTTGTCTTCCCTGCAAGACTATGGATTCTTTTGTATTTCCTGTATTCAGTACACAGTAGGGAAGAGGGTCAGATCATAAGCACCTTCAGAGTTCAAGATTTTGGTTGTACCTTTAGCTATTGAGTAAGCTAATTAGCTCTGTATTCTGAAAGACGTTAATTATTTATGGTTTAGAGTACACTGCAGGGAAGCCAAAGAAGTAATACTAAATTTCTGCTTTCTTTAAACACAATCTAGTTGAAGAGACCAGACATCCAAGGAAAATTAATACAAGTCCAGGAGATCACTAAGTCTATGTGATGTGGCAACATTTCAAAGAAGGTGAACTAGAGCAGCAGTCACCAACCTTTCAGACCTCACGGACCACCAGGGGTCTGCGGACCACCGGCTGGCGACCACTGAACTAGAGAGTATTTTAATGGGAAAGCAAAAGGTATTTCCAGTTTGAAGACAGAGAAGATGGATATGGTAACAGCCCAAGTCTAGGTGTGAATGGAGATGGGACATGTGTGTAGTGTATAGGATGTCTAGTCTAATTGGAATAAAAGGTTCCTAACAGGGAGGTAGGAGACACATAAATAAAAGTTTGAGTGACAGGTCAAAGAGATCCTGTAGCCGAATGAAAGTCACTGAAAGCCACAGAGATGGAACAAGAGTAGTGTTTTAGGAAAATCATTCTATACAATAAAGATACAACTGGAAAATCTCAGTAAGCTAGGAAAAGAGGGGAACTTCCTCAACTTGATAAAGAATATCTACATGCACCGAAACCAGTTTGGCTCAGTGGATAGAGTGTCGGTCTGCGGACTAAAAGGTCCCAGGTTTGATTCTGGTCAAGGGCATGTACATTGGTTGCGGGCACATCCCTGGTAAGGGGTGTGCAGGAGGCAGCTGGTTGATGTTTCTCTCTCATCGACGTTTCTAGCTCTCTATCCCTCTCGCTTCCTCTGTGGAAAATCAATAAAATATATTAAAAAAAAAAAAAAAAAAAAAGAATATCTACATGCCCTAACTAGTTTGATCCCCAGTAGGGGGTGTGCAGGAAGCAGCCAATCTATATTTCTCTCACATCAATGTTTCTATCTATCTCTCTCTCTCTCAAAACAATGAAAACATTAAAAAAACAACAACAACTATCTACAGAAAACCTACACTAGCATCATACCTAAAGGTAAGAAACTCAAAGCTTTCCCTTTAAAATCAGGTACAAAGCAAGGATGTCCCCTTTCACTCCTTTTCAACATTGTAGAGAAACTTCTAACTAATGCAGTAAGACAAGAAAAGGAAACAAGAAATATGCAGATTGAAAAAGAAGAAATGAAACCATCTTTATTCAGATATGATTGGAAGGGAAGAGAAGGAACCTCCAGGTGCTACCTTGTCCTTTAGTTTTGTGTGGAGGAAGCAAGTCAGGCTCTGTAGTTGCTCAGTCAGCACCCTTAGCTCTTGGGAATACTGGCGTGTCTTCTCCAGGTCTTTCTCCTGGATCTCTGCTACGGTGCTAGCCAGTTTAGCCCTGAAATAAGGAAGGAACAGAAGACCATGTGACCTTCTCTGCACACCTCTCCCAAAGCCCACACAGAGGGAAGCAAAAAGGCTCTTAGACAATTCCATCCTTGGAGACTTAAGCTTCTAGAAGGGTTTCTGGGAAAGATAAGCAATTACAGGAAAAGCACCAAAAGGTGGAGGTCTTACTTCAGGTTCTCTACGGTGTCCTTGAGGTCCTCACACTGCAGGCTGCGCTCCCGGAGCACTTCCAGTGTGCTTTTCAACTGACACTCCACCTGGCCCAGCTCCAAATGAGCTACCTGGTTCTCTTGGTCTGCAAACTGGGGAGATGGGAGAAGGAAGAAAGGAAAGGAAGGAGCGAGAAAGAGAAGGGAGAAAATGAATCTAAGTGGGACTTATTAGAGCCCTTGGGACGAAAGCAGTTTCCAGTCTCCAGTCTCAAACCTTACTTCAATACCATCAGGTAAGGATCATACTCCTGCCAGTTCCCCTGCCCCAAGCCCTATTCCTTACCTCCAGAGTCTCCTTCAGGTCCTGCACCTCCTTAGCCAGGACAGCATGTTGTTGCTGCAGCTCTGCTTGTATGTGTTTTAGTGTCATCTCTTCCTCTTGCCATCTGCCAGAGACCTTATGTTAGATCCCACTGGCCCTAAACCCTGGGCCCCTACTGCCACAATAACCTGATAGGAACTCACTGAGTAGCCTGCTTCTCATTGCTCTGGGTAAGCTGGCAGAGCAACTCATCCTTCATGGCCAGGTCCTGGGTACAGTGGGCATGCTGACTCTGTAGCTCTTGTAGCTGACTCTGCATGCTGGCCAGAATCTGTAGCTGATCTCGGAGATCTAAACCAAAAGTATCCTAATCACACCATGTGGTCACCAGGCCAGAACCTCCCCACTCTTGTGCTCTAAACAAGTGCTCTAGGGCACTTTCTTATTCTACTGCCATACCCCAAGCCTTAGCAGGGCACAAATGCTTGCATGCATGCATGCACACACACCTGTTGCTAGGCGACTATTTTCCAACTCCAGTTGCTCTATTTGGCCTTTGCAGTCCTCTAACTGGGCAGAGACTTGTTCCAGCTCCCTGGAAACCTAGGAAGAAAAGATCGTTTTCCTCCCACTGTACTTCCAGAATTGAGTCCCAGGACTTGGTCCAGCTTCTCTTTCTGGACAGAACAACAAACCATCTTGCTCCTGGGTAGCAACCCTGCAGCAAATAAGGCTGATCCTCAGGAAAAAATAGAAACAGGAGAAAAGTTGTTGAAGAAGATGCTGAAGGACAAAGGAAATTATAGACCCAAGGTCATCTTTCAGGGAAGGAACCTGGATGGTCTCCAAACCCACAGGGTAGAAAGCCCAATGCAGAGTAAGAGGCTACTCATTAGAAAGGCCTTCTGTGGAGAAGGAGGAAACCAGGCCTAAGCAGTTGCCCTCCCTGGTTTGTACCTGCTGCTTTTCCTCAACCGCAGCATCGCGTTCCTGTAGGGTCTGCCGGCTCTTGGCTGTGAGCTTCTCTGTGAGTTCTCGAGACCGGCTCAGCAAAGCTGTCCATGTTGTATACTACCAGGGGATGCAAGCAGGTCAGTCAAGCACTCTTGAGGCAAGGCTCCTAACAGGGTTGGCTGTGGATAAAGGAGTGGTATGATGGTTCCCAAATACTCACATCCTGTTGCATGGACGTCCAGTCCTGTTGCAAGACGGAGTTAAGACTTGCTGTCTCCTGAGCCATCTCTTCCTGCTCAGTATGAAGACCTACCTATACAAGAAGAAGTGCCTATGGAAGGGCTCCCTTCCTCTGGATACAACAAAGTGGGGGTAAACGACCAAGCTCCCGTGAATCAGCCTGGATCTCAATAAAGAAAATGCACTCAAATTACCAGTTGGGTCTGGGTCTCCTTCAAGAGTCCTCTGAATTCCCCCATGGATGCCAGGTTCTGTTGCAACTGGCTGATGCGTTGACTGGCATGTGCACAGAAAGCCTCTAGCACCGACTCTGCCTGTTTAGGGAACAGGTTGTGAGGATACGGTGGGCAGAGGAGGGAAACAGCACCTAAAGCCATGCTATGTGCCACATCAGTAGTTTAATTCATTGTTCCCCAGGGCAGGCAATTGTCTCCAGTAAATTTGTGTTCCTGCAGGAACCCTGAGGAAAAAAATCTTCCACATCCAAGAACAAAAGCCTGACATCTTACCGCCTCCTTGCCTCTGAGGGCCATTTCCTCTCCGTGCTTTGCCTCCTCCCTTTCTGTTTTGAGACTCTGGAGCCTTGCCCTCAATTTCTTCAGCACATCAATACAGCAGGAGACCAAGGTTTCTGTACGCCGGGACTACAAGATAAGAATCAGATGCTGTCTGGTCCTGGCTTTCTGTCCCACCAGAGGCTTGGGCCTTCACCGTCATACTGCTTACCTCCTGACTCACAGTAGTTTTATCTTCTTCTAAGTGCAACAGAGACAGGTAAAGCAAGGATATCAGCTCTTTGGAGACCAGAGCCCATGACTGCTGTAGAGGAAAAGATGGTTAGGCTAAATCAAATGAAGTCACTAAGCAGGAAAACCACTAACCCCAATTTCAAGCTCCAATAAGGAGCTTGAAATATATATATATATTAATATATATGTTTTTATTGCTTTCAGAGAGGAAGAGGGAGAGAGAGATCAAAACATCAATGATGAGAGTGAATCATTGATCAGCCCCCTCCTGCATGCATCCCACCGGGTATCGAGCCTGCAACCCCGGGCATGTGCCCCTGACAGGATTCAAACCCGGGACCCTTCAGTCTACAGGTTGACACTCTATCCACTGAGCCAAACCAGCTAGGGCAAGGAGAAGATGTTCTTAACAAAGGTTTGGAGACCTTCCTCCCTTCATACCATGGCTGATTACCACCACTGGCTCCATTCTTGATTTTCACAGGTGACCCAGTGGTGGTATAAGGTCAGTCAACACTTACCATGATGTTCCTGGTCTGCTGCAAAGTCTGTCCAATCTCTCGGTTTCCCTGAAGAAGCTCAAGTTTCTTATTTATCTAGGCAGAGAAACAGAGTTGTTCCTTTTTCATAGACAGCATGCACCACCAGTACTTCATTTCCCCTCCTACCCACTGAGATACAGGAGCCTTTTCTATTAAAAATAGGAGCAAGGTCACAGTTTGATAAAGTTGAGTCAGAAAAATATACAAATGTAGGTAAAAATGTCCTTTTTTTTTTTTTTAGTAGTTTTTAATTATAAAGACAGTGTCTATTGTAAAATTTTGCAAATACAGAAGTGACTAAAATGGAAAAAGAAATCATTACATAATTTTACCATCTAGAGCAGTGATTTTTAACCATTAGTATAGCACCTATTTCAAGAGATTTAGATATCTCTCTACACTACAGATTTTGCTATAGGGATTTGCTATAACTGATGAGTATATTACTTCCCTTAGATGCCAGGGGGAGAAAAAAGTTGTAGACTACTGATTTAGAGAGAAATTATAATATTCAGTAAATTCTAAGATGATTATCTCTTTATATTTTAACACCACTAAAATTGGGATGCATCTTAATATTAATAGTGCCAGATTTTATGAAAGACAATTGCTTCAGAAAAAAACACAATTGAGATTACAATATGTAAATAAATTTGGGGTCCTGCTTTACTTCACTTTATTAAATTAATGTGATTTAGCCCTAAATTTATACTTACTCTCCTTATTGAAATAGCCAGAAACTGGGATATTTGCTATCAAAGTGAAGTACCACCCATTTTTAACTTCTGCTGATATTTTACCTCATCTCAAAGCCCCTTAGAGGTTATCTGAACTCTGATTTCCTTTCTTTAAAAACCTTGAACTTGCCGAAACCGGTTTGGCTCAGTGGTAGAGCGTCGGTCTGCGGACTGAAAGGTCCCAGGTTCGATTCCGGTCAAGGGCATGTACATTGGTTGCGAGCACATCCCCGGTAGGGGGTGTGCAAGAGGCAGCTGGTCGGTGTTTCTCTCTCATCGACGTTTCTAGCTCTCTATCTCCCTTCCTCTCTGTAAAAAATCAATAAAATATATTTTAAAAAAATAAATAAATAAAAACCTTGAACTTACATTAAACTTCATTTCCCATGTTATTAAAAACTCTTCATAAATATACTTTTAAATGACTGAAGAATATCCCATCTAATGGATATACCATTATTTCTTATATTTTTTTTACTTTTTTAAGTTACCATATTTATGCAGAATATTTTCCTTTTAAGTTACCATATCTATGCAGAATATATACCCCTAAGAAGTGAAGTGACCAGTAAAAAGTTTGAACTCCTGGCCGAAGCCGGTTTGGCTCAGTGGTAGAGCGTTGGTCTGCGGACTGAAAGGTCCCAGGTTCGATTCCGGTCAAGGGCATGTACATTGGTTGCGGGCACATCCCCGGTACGGGTTGTGCAAGAGGCAGCTGGTCGATGTTTCTCTCTCATCTATGTTTCTAGCTCTCTAGCTCTCTCCCTTACTCTCTGTAAAAAATCAATAAAATATATTAAAAAAAAAAAAAAAGTTTGAACTCCTTTGAGGGTCTTACTTGAATGTCTTTCAAAAAAAGCTGAACCAACTTATATCCTACTGACAGCAAGGCCATGCTTACCAGCATTATCTATTTTATTTTTTGCTATTTTGTCAGAAGAAAACTACATCATTATTTCATTTCTCTGATCATCAGTAAAGATAACCTTCTCAAATATTTTTTTCAAATTTAATAATCTTTATTGCTCAGATTATTACATTTGTTTCTCCTCCCCCCCACCCCCCCCCAAATCAAATATTTATTAACACGTTTAAGCACCCAGCCCAGATGGAAAGTATAGTGTCAGCCACCAGTGACTGACTGGGCGCTTAACGTGTTAATCACTTTTATTTCCTTATTCTCCAAGTGTTCATTATCTTGGGGCAGACAAAAATCTTAATGTGCCATGTAGAACAGACTCACATGATCTCAAAGGCAGCAGAGCTATGGAAAGACTTAAAACTTCTGAGAGAAAAGTGAGGAGCATTCATTACTGCTGAAAGGCAGCCATCATCTGGGAAAGCACGACTGCTGGAAGGGCAGTGTTGAGTCACGATGCTATAGCAGTCTGGACTTAAGGGGGCAGGCACCTCTCCCAGCAAAGCATCATCATTCTCTCCCGTGTCGTGCAGTAAGGCACGGAGTACCCCATGAGCCCCAGACAAGGACAAGGCGCACATACTGTGCAGAGCTGAGCAGTCAGGCAGGAGATAAGATTAGTGAGAAGGAGGAAGCCAAGCGGCAAGGACATGGCACTGAGATGGGAATGGCTGAAGGTGCTGTCATTTCCCCCCGCTTTGGTTCCGCTTCAGTGGCCTCCAAAGGGATTTGGAAAGCTTCAGGGGAAGAGGTACAAGGCTGACACAGGGAGAGGGAACCAGGTCAAAGACAAGAGTAAAGGACACAAAAATAAGGAAACGCAGGAGGAGAACTGAGCAGCTAAAGAAAGGATAAGCCTCTGGTTTCCAGGATTTGGGCAAAAGGTGAAGTAACTGAAGATATTTTCAACCCAGAGGAGATCTTTGGGCATTTGGAGAACATCTCTTTTTTTATTATTTTGTTTCAGAGGACTTTTATTAAAGCTGGGGACAGTGAAACAAGAAAGAGCTGGGGAAATGAGCCTAGGCTGGTCTGCTTTGGCCCACTAAGAAGTCAGAGAAAAGGGGGTCTTGGGGACAAGTTTAGGGGGTTTCCCAAGACGAGCTGCCACTCCCACTGCCCACTGCTGCGCCGGTTGCAAGTCTCCTGAGGTCCCTTAGAGTTTAGGATAGGGGGAGAAGGAAGGGGAAGGGGAAGGGGAAGAAGGGGAAGGGGCAGGTATGCTAGGAGGGAGAGCACACCTGGAGAACATCTCTTTTTAGCAGCAGCTACCTATTAACCTCACCCGCCACAATACTGAGACTCCCAATTCCTTCCCCGACACCATTCCTTCCCTTCCTCAGCCTGTGTTGTCACAGCTAGAGCCCTCTATAACACTGTTCTTTAAACTTTTTCTTCTCATATCTGTTATAATTTTGAAGAATGAGTGCCCTTAAGTTTAAATTGTTATAAAGACTGTAATTTCCACCATATCGTAAATATTGACTGTTCGAAATAAAACTATGAAATCACTCTTAAATACATACACCAGAATGATTTAATACCCATTTTATACCTTTAAAAATACATGAACAGCCGAAACCGGTTTGGCTCAGTGGATAGAGCGTCGGCTTGGGGACTGAAGGGTCCCAGGTTCGATTCCGGTCAAGGGCATGTACCTTGGTTGCGGGCACATCCCCAGTAGGGGGTGTGCAAGAGGCAGCTGATTGATGACTCTCTCTCATTGATGTTTCTAACTCTCTATCCTCTCTCTTCCTCTCTGTGAAAAATCAATAAAATATATTTAAAAATTTTAAAAAATAATAAATAAATAAAAATACATGAACAAACTTTTTTAAGTCAGAAATTTTACATCATCCCTTTTTCTTCTTTATGTGTATTTTTAGTCCTCTCAGAATTTTATCCTATACTGTATCTTATACTTTAAAGTCTGTTATTAATCAATATATCTGCAACAGCAAAAATTCATTTAAATTTAAATTACTTTTAAATTCCTCTGATCATAAGCTTTTATGTGAAAATTTCCTTTAGATAAATATTCTTAACAGTTGTATACTAATCATTGTATTATAATTTTAATAAAATCAAAAACATACCTAGTAAAATTTTTTTTTAAATCCTCACCCAAGGATATTTTTTCCCATTGATATCTACAGAGTGAAAGAGAGGGAGGAGAGGGAGAGAGAGAAAGAGAAACATAGATGTGAGAGAGACACATTGGTTGCCTCCTGCAGCACTCCTACATGGGCTGGGGAACCCCGCAACCTGGCCATGTCCCCTGCCTGGGAATTGAACTGTGACCTCCCGGTTCATGGGTTGACGTTCAACCACTGAGCAACACCGGCCACGCCACAAATGTTTTCAATTATTTGATTGCTATCCCTTGACAATGTAAGGTTCAGGATAGGTAGTAAATATGGTCTTCTTTAGTTATGATAAGTGGGCAAGGGCAATTGAGAAAGGAGAAATAGGAAAGCAAAAAAAAAAAAATTAGCAAAATACATTTGGAAGATGAAGATATAGAAACCGATTCTTTTAAAACTATCCTTGCTTGTATTCCCTTAGAAAGTCCTGATGAACCCCAGGGGTATAGTGAGTACCTAAAGCTTTAACGAATTTTCTAGATCCACAGCTTTTACATATTCTAAGACACCTCCTTTGCCCTCTGGCAGTTTCTCAGTTTAAATTCTGAGAAAGAGGGCCCACTGGGGTCTTCCGCACTTCGGAAGTAACCTTCTTACCCCACTGCGGCAGGTGTCAGTTGTGTCAGTCTGTGTGCTACTATCGCGAACTTCCGGGTGAGGGGCAGTCAGCTGGCTCTTCCAATTCCGCAGCGGGCGAGAGAGAACTTCCAGAATGACAAGAGAGTTCCTCAAGTTATCTTCCAGGTCGTGTCGAGATAAGGCAGTCAGGTCTGGAGGGTGGCTGCAGCAGAAAGAGAACGAGAGGAGAAAACATAGAGGGGAAGGGATGGAAGTGGCAGATCCAGGCTAATGAAGCCGAGGAGGCAGCAGGATACTGGGACACTTACTTCCCCCACAGGAGATGCTCCCTCTCCGAAGTACTGTCCTTGGTGCCCTCCAGGCCTGTACGGGATGTGTTTGTGCCCTTTTCCTGTGGTGGTGCTGGCGGAGTAAACCAAGTCCCCACCGAGCAAGCAGAGAAAGGAGTAGTGCCGGTTGCAGCATCCTGAAGCACAGCGGGAAGGGATAAGCTCTGGCGGAGATTTTCCAGCATGACTGAAGTATCCACACCTTTTTCCAGCCAGGCCAGTGGGGACATCCAAGGCCCTGTGTCAGAGATGGGAATCCTACCAGCCTCTTCTACTGCTGGGCCCGGAGCTGGCTGGGATTCCATTTCTCCTGGATTTGGGGTCAGGCATGTGCACGGGATATCTTGCATATTTGAGACAAGTGTTTGATCTCCCAGTTCAGCCACCTCCGGGAGTGTGGAAAAGCTCACTTCTCTTTCCTCTATAGCTCCCTGCTCTACAATTTCCTGCCCTGAGTCCACATGACTGACAGGGAAATCCGCTGGAAAGGCAGTTGAAGGGGGAAGACAGAGCATGGAGGAAGGCAAGATGGCATTACTTTCAGAAGACACCAAGTCCTCAGGCGCAGCCTCAGGTTCACTGTCCCGCAGGCTGTCCTTGGAACAGTGTAGCTGTTGCTCAGAACAGGGATTTGGTAGACACACCAACGGATGGGCTGGAGGATCCTGAAATGTCAGTTTCTCAGGCATAGTAGGAACAACTTCTGAAAAGCTGTCTTTCTCAGGCATAGCAGGGACAACTTCTGAAAAGCTGTCTTTCTCAGGCATAGCAGGGACAACTTCTGAAAAGCTGTCTTTCTCAGGCATAGCAGGGACAACTTCTGAAAAGCTGTTTTTCTCAGGCATAGCAGGGACAACTTCTGAAAAGCAGGGTTCCACCCCCTTTCTCAGCAGATCTTCTGGCCTCAAAGACTCATCCAGAGAAAAACTGTTTGTCTCTGCTGTGGTATTTAAATGGGCCTCAAGTGTAATGTCTTGCTGCTGCCCTCCTGCAGAGGGTACAAGGACCATGGTTTCAACCACATTGTTTTCCGCTGGGTCTACTGCTTCCTCAGAAGTTTTGGGAGTAGAGTTGTTTTGGGGAATCAGATTTAGGGGCTGCTCATCTGATTCATGTTGACAAGCTTCTAGCCACTTTGAGGGATGGCTGAATTGTTCTAATGGGGAGTCTATCATCTTAACATTTTCAAAATCTAATGGAGATGAGTTGTTGCCGTCCTCCTGCCAAAGAAAACAAAAGTAGTTGACTAAGGCAATCAATTCCGGTTCTCAGCATACAGTGATAGGTGAAAGATACTGTCCAAATTTGGAAAATACGATTTCTCGTGACCTCTGCTTAGGTAAGATCTTGGCTAAGCTTTGCCTATCACTGCAGGGACCCAATAGCAGGAAAAGAAAAGCTAGGAAGCTATTTTGGATCCTTCCAAGTGAACCTACCTATAGAAAAAACAGGGCTGAGATAATTTATCTACATCAAAGTGGCCCCACTCCTCTTAAATTCTAACTCCAATTCACTTCTAAGGAGAACAGGTAAGAGGCGGTCCCTAGACACAAGCTCTGTTAGAATCTAGAATTGGTCCAAGATTTTTCTCCTTCTCCATCAGAGTTAAAGAGCACTTGGCCCACAGAGATCCATGGACTCTAGGGAGAAAGGACAACATCAACCTGTGCTAGGAACCTAGTCTTCTTGACCTCAAGGGCTGAAGGCATCCTGAATACATGGATTGAATCCATTGAACAGTGGGATTTGAATGTCTCTAGTCTTTGTAGCAGAGGAGAATAAAGAGCAGAGACTTCCTCTTAGCGCCCTAATAAGGGACTAACAACCTCATTTTAATCTCCTGATGTATATCTTTCCATATTTCCTCTTTGTTCTTTTAATAATATACAACATACAAAATTACTTTATTGGTAGATTACAAAATAGTTCTTATTATTTGTAGTAGTTATGTTCTATAAAGTCTCTGTGAACACTTAATTAGCAAATACTGAACTGCTTCTCCTAGGGGAAACACAGGGTATGTTCCTGCAAATTTCCTAGCAAACATTTTCATTAACCAATTAAGTCCAATCTTATTTTATGTGTTTTTTGTTCTAAAACGCCGTATGTAAAATATATTGTTGATTCTTTAACACTGAAGTCACAGCCAACAGCACTGATGCCTGAATGAAGCTTGTCTAACTCAGATAATGTACATCATAGCTTTCTTGCACTTAGAACACTAGCCAGCACTTCAACACTTATGTTTGTGGACATTTAAAACAGTGAAATAACCAGCAAAAAAACCCCACAAAATTCAAAAACCATGGCACTAGATCATGAGAAAGACATTTGTTTACAGTATGACCACTAAAACAAGACAAAATGTCACCTTGTTCAACCTCTGCTAGGAAGGTATTTAAGGCGACTCCTATTTTTTTGCTTCTCTGCACGTCCAAAGGTGTTGCAAATATTGATTTTGGGATTACAAATAACTTTTAGTGAGAAGGTGAATTCACAAATACTGAATCCACAAATAATAAGGTTTGATAGTATACATTTCTCCGCATGCTGCTTTTCTCATTTAACATGTGCAAATCCCTCCAGGTCAACAAAAAGCACACAAATGTAAAAACCATTGCACTAAATAGTAGGTTTCGAACTAATCCATAAGCTATTATGGTATGCATGAATCATAATTCATTCACCACTGGTTATTTGTTTCCATTTTTGTTTTGCTTCTACAAACATCGCTAACATAACTACCTTTGTACATATAGTATTGCCTCTGTTAGCTGCCTGATCTCTGTATGTGAGTCCATGTTAGAGGAAGACTACTAACCAAAATGATAGTATTTTCCCCCAACTTGGTAAAGATTAAACGGGGGAGGAAGTGATAAAGTCTAACAGCTAAATAGAGGTCCAGATTCTCAGCGGATATTCTTTAACCACCCTAGAGCACCTCTCTGTTGGCCTGAATAGCTGTAAATAGATGTCACTAAAGTAGAAGACTTCATTATCGTTATTAATTACGTTCCAGCTCTGGCCCTCAGTTCCTCTGAGCTGCCGGCCTCGGCAGAGAGCCCAATGGAGAAGCTGGCCAGACGAATCTCACCTGCAGCCCCAGTTTGCACAGCGATGGGGTCAGCGAGTAGCATATCCCAGGCCCTTGCGCAGAGCTGGTGAGAGCTTCGGGCTGCAGGTTAAGTTCTCGGAGAGGAGTTCGCACAGGTGGTTCTCCCTAATAAAGAAAGAATGAGACAGTGTGAGGAAGCCTGTGCTCCCCGTCCCTCCCCCGAAGAAGCTCAGGGCTCCGACCCAAGAGGCGCTGCGGAAGCTCCACACGCTCCTGCCCCTGCCCCCACCCCAGGCTGGACCCAGCTGTCTCCCTGCTTGAGACTCTCCGCTCACCGGCTGGGTCGATGGGGACAGGCTCAGTTTCCTCACCCGCCACATCTTCAACACAGAACACGGAACGATCACCTCGCAATCCGAGAGGTGACGGCTAGCGCACCCGCCGCCTTCATTTTTTAAAACTGCTCCGCGCTTCCGGATTGGCTGCCAAGTTCCAGTGCGTCAGTCTGGCGCGTCCTCTCGGGGCTCCGAACTGGTGGGCGGCGGGAGGGGCGGGGCCATATTAGGCACCGCCCCCTCGCTGACCCCGCCCCCCGATTCACGGTTGCGCGCGTTCTCGACTCCTCACCACAGACGCGGGCGGGGGAACCGGACGCGCGCCCCCTGAGGCCGGTTCGCAGCCTCACCTCGGGGAGGGGACCTCGGTAGCTGGAAAGTCAGGGGGTCCATCCCTTCTGCCGCCATTGGGCCAGCCTTTTCACCCAGTCAGAAAAGTTGGTTTCCCTCAGTTACCTCAGCCTCAGCCTTGACCAGAAAACCAGCCTGGAGTCTTGAAGGGAAAGGTGAGTGGAGCGTTTTTTGTTTTGTTTTGTTTTTACTTCGGCTTGCTCGTCCGAAATGGATGGAGGTGGAGTTCTCAGCCCGCGCAGTAATTGAGTCGTTTCAAATGTCTCTTGTTTTCGTGGAACTTCCCTCAGGGCCCGCAGCGAGTTGATTGGAACAATGTAGTGAACAGATATTGAACATTTACTATGTACCTGGCACTGTTCCAGACACTTCACATATATTGGCTCCTTTGATATTCATTCATAGGGATCGATAAAATAGGTACTGTAAATATCCCCACTTCACAGACGAAGGAACTGAGTCAGAGACCATGAAATTGGCCCAAGGACCCGCTGGTAGTAAATGGCAGTCAAGATTCCAACCCACACAGCCAAACTACATTTCCTGCCACTTCCGTCCCCTCTGGGTGGGAAATCCAGCCTAGCTATTGAAGGTAGAAGTGAGTTTTGGAAACAGTTAAAGGTCAGTATCTATAATAAAAGCATAATATGCTATAGACCGGACAGCCGGACATCCTTGTCCTTCCCCACAACCTTCCGGATGAAGCCCCCGGGCTGCAAGGGCTGAGCCCCTTGCACGAATTTCGTGCATCGGGTCTGGTTTAGAGATAATAGTTTATGATGAAGTACGCTCCTTTGAACACTTACAGCACCTTATTTACACTCTGAGGTCTGTATGAATTTGGAAAAGGCAATATGTAATCCAAAGAGGAGGAACTATAATGTTATGAAGTGCAGGGCCCACAGGGGATGTGTTCCTTCAGAACTGTGCTGTCCAGGACCGTAGCAGCCAGCCACATGTGGCTACTGAACACTTCAAGTGTGGCCAACCCAAATTAAGATGGAATAGGCATTAAAAAAAAAAAAAATGTTATAGGCATAAAATACAAACTATCTTTCAAAGACTTTGTATTAAAAAAGAATGTTTTTTCACTCCCCCCAAAAAAACATAAAAACGCACCAAAACCAAAACAAAACAAAAAAATGTTTTTTATTTCAGGGAGCTCAGTATTGAGTACTGAGTATTGAGTACTGGGCTCCCTGGGACTCAGGTTCCCCTCTGCAAAGTGGCACTGCCATGAACTGGTCCTCCAGCTTGTGGGTTCCGTGTTCCCTTTGTTCACACACACATACACACACTTGGAGGTAGAGTCCCCTCTGCCTTAGGTCACTGGTGATTTCAAAGGTGGCAAAGATGGCATCTGTTGCCCCGGAATGGCAGCTCCCAGTCCCAGTTCCCAGCCTTTCCAGCCAGGATATGAAGCCTTTTCTGAATTTCTCTAGGGCAGTGGTCGGCACATTGCGGCTCACGAGCCATATGTGGCTCTTTGGCCCCTTGAGTTTTTAGCAAAAGCCAGCTTAAGAGTACCCTAATTAAGTTAATAACAATGTACCTACCTACATAGTTTAAGTTTTAAAAATTTGGCTCTCAAAAGAAATTTCAATCGTACTGTTGATATTTGGCTCTGCTGACTAATGAGTTTGCCGACAGCTGTCCTAGGTAAAAGGGGCATGATAACCTCCGTCTCCCTCAGCTAAGCCCAAGGGTAGATACTATAAAGTGCTTTGCTCCTGTGGGATCAAGACTGGCTGACCTGGGAACCTCGAAGCATCCTCTGGAGGCCGGGGTGGCCTCAGTTCGGAGCTGAGTGTGAGACAGCATTCTGTGAACATTCACAGGCTGACTGGGGTCAGTGCACCTCCGCTGACAGCTTTCCCCTCTCTGGATCTACTAGTTGTCCTGCCTTTCTCTCCTGGTGTGGTCCCTATTTCAGAAAACGCGTGCCTGGCCCTGAGTGTGGCCCCACCTCTCGGTGCCTGCCCCTCAGGCTTACCTGTTGAGTGCTCCTGTCTTTGTCACTATGAACCTGCAAACTCTGTGCCTGAGTCACTCTATGTGTCCTTGACTGTTCCTTCATCAGTTGGGGGCCTTACTTGCCAGGCGTCTGAGCGTATGTGGCTGTACCTGTCCTTCTTTGACTTGGTGCACGTACCTGCCTCAGCCTGTGCTCACCTTCCACGTGCCCTCTCCATCTCCTCCACTTTCGGGGCCAAGAGGCCCTCGGACTTGGCGTGGCGTGTCTCGATACCCCCAGACCCACAGCCACAGTGGCGGAGCCAGAGGAGGGAGGCAGGGTGGGCAAAAATTACAATTTCTTAATACCCATTTCTCTCTCAGTGTCTTGTATAGAGCCTCTAAGTCAACTGATATAGATATAATTGACTTGTCACTTCATATTCCTTGCCCTTAAAAATAAGGGTACTTTTCTGATTTGTAAGAGCTCTGTTATAGACATTTAAAATATAAAAATAAATGTGTATATATCTTTATTGATTTCAGGGAGGAAGTGGAGGGAGAGATAGAAATATTAATGATGACAGAGAATCATTGCTCTGCTGCTTCAGGGATCAAGCCTGCAATTCGGGTATATGCCCTGACCAGGAATCGAAATGTGATTTCCTGGTTCATAGGTCAGTGCTCAACCATTGAGCCACTGCATCCGGACTGTGTTATAGACATTAACTGTCATCACATTGTATTTTTTAGGATCTATTTTTTTGTCCATTGGCTTTATTTTTTAAAATGTTTTGATTTTTAGAAAGAGAGGAAGGGAGAGGGATAGAGATAGAAACATCAATGAGAAAAAAACATCAACATCATTCAGCTTCCTTCTGCAAAGCCCCTGCTGGGGATTGAGTCCGAAACCTGGGCATGTGCCCTGACAAGGATTCAAATCAGTGACCTCTTAGTTCCTGGGTCAGTGCTCAATGCTGAGCCACACCAGCTGGGCTGTCCATTGGCTTTATTAATGCAATCTTGAGTCATACAAAGATCCAACTTATGTGGTCACAAAGTTTATTTTTCCTTCCAGAGCATCTGGATTTCTTGAGTGATTCATTCATCAACTTTGTATGTAAATGTTTTCCTTTTTCTTTTATAGTGTTTTCATTTTTCTTTCTTGGTTTAGTTATCTCCTCTAGACCCTGATTATAGGTCTAGTCTCCCAAATGTTCTTGAGATTCTTAATGTTTTGATGTTCACATTTAAAGCCTTAATGTATTTGGAATTAAGTTTTGTAGGGATCCAACTATTTAAAAACAACTGTTGCCGAAACCGGTTTGGCTCAGTGGATAGAGTGTCAATCTGTGGACTGAAAGGTCCCAGGTTCGATTCCGGTCAAGGGCATGTACATTGGTTGTGGGCACATCTCTGGTGGGGGGTATGCAGGAGGCGGCTGGTCGATGTTTCTCTCTCAACAGCGTTTCTAGCTCTCTATCCTCTCCCTTCCTCTCTGTGGAAAATCAATAAAATATATTTTTTAAAATAAAAATAAAAACAAAAACAACTGTTATTCTTAAATTTTAGGATTAGAGATTTCTTATTTTGTAAAAATCCAATTCCATAACCCAAATCAGCAATTCAGAAATATCCACCAGACAGTTCTTCTGAGTGAACTCAAGGATGAAATCATAGAATTATTAGTCTTACTACTGTTATGATAAAGTACTGAACGAAGGAGGCAATGTAACAGTTCTATAAACCAACAAAGTTCAGAGAGAAGCTAGTGAAATCTGAAATAATATCTTCTCAGAATATAAATAAAGCCAACCTGTAGGAAAGAAGATATGTTTTTGTTTTTAAATCATTCTTGATTAATCTATTAGAACTCTTCAAAGCAGTTGTACTAATTTGCTAGGACTGCCATTTGTTATTTAAGCCACCCAAAGACTGGGTGGCTTAAATAACAAATTTATTTTTTCATAATTCCAGAGGCTAAAAGTCTGAGATCAAGGTGTCAGTAGGGTTGGTTTTTTCTGAGGCTTCTCTCATTGGCTTGTAGATGTCTGTCTCCTAGTATTTTCATATGGACTTCCCTGTGTGTGTGTTTGTGTCCTAATTTCCCTTCCTTATAAGGACACCCATCATATTGGACTAGAGGCCCAGTGCATGAATTTGTGCACTGGTGGGGTCTGGCTGGCCAGGCCCTGATGGGGACTGATTGGGGCTGGGCCAGCCAGAGGAAAGGGCTGAGAGGGCTTTGCTGCCGGGGGAGGGGCTGTGGGTAGTTGGCCAGCTGGCCCTGCCCCCAATCAGAGTAGGGGGGCCGATTGGGGTAGGGCCAGCTGTGGAAATGTGCTGAGAGAGGTTGGCCAGCTGGTCCTGCCCCTGATCCAGCTGGGCCCAACTGGGGGGAGTGGCTGGCCCCTGATCGGCCGGTTGGCTGGCCACAGAGTATGTCATAGTGCCTGGTCATTCTGGTGTTCTGGTCCTTTGGATTATATATATATATATATATAGACTAGAGGCCTGTTGCAGGAAGATTCCTGCAAGAATAGGGCTTCCTGCTGAAACAGGTTTGACTCAGTGGATAGAGCGCTGGCCTGCAGACTGAAGGGTCCTGGGTTCGATTCTGGTCAAGGGCATGTACCTTGGTTGCGGGCACGTCCCCAGTAGAGTGTGTGCAAGAGACAGCTGATCGATGTTTCTAACTTTCTATCCCTCTCCCTTCCTCTCTGTAAAAAATCAATAAAATA